AAAAAAAAAAAAAGATAGGAGAGAAGAAGAACATCAAGGCTTGACGCCGGGTAAGCTCAAGGTCAACGCGCATATGACACCGCACTGCCAGAAGGCAAAGTTGAATGCGAAAAGATACCTTTCCGGTGGAACAACGTAAAGAGACAAGCTATATAGGATCGCCATGCTCGTCTACCAATGCTACTGTCCAAACCTTCCGGATGGCGGCGCCTCGCCTCACCAAGAGACACCTGACCCTACATATTCTCTTCTTGTTCTTGCCCATTGCTACTACCTTGGGACTTCGGAATCTTATACATTCGTCTTTATAGGTGTTGTGTTATTTTGGCTATAACTGTTTGTACGAAACCCTAACTCCCAAGACCCTGGACCCCATCCATGCGCCCCCTCCCCAATCATCGTGATCGCCGCAGCAATTCTTCCCAAAGCAATTCCGGTCTCGCCGACGACGGCCGCAGATATCCAGAGCGCCACTGGTTCCCCAGGTCCCGCGAACTATTGTTCCCCACTGCAACTATATCCGCCTGCCCGGTCTTTCGAGTGTAGCATGTACTTACCACAGGTTCTTTAGGTCTGGCTGAGATGGTCACGTATCTACCTATTTCGTCGCCCTTCATTCGTTTTGCCGGCCGATACGTGGACGATGCGTTTGGCGTGGCCGCTGGATACAACTTCTTCATCTTTGAAGCGGCCATGGTGCCCTTCGAGATTACCGCATGTAACATTATCATCACATATTGGAGCGACGCAGTTCCGGTGGCGGCCATCATTGTCATCATTCTAATACTTTTCGTGTGCGTCATGTCTTCCACAGGCGCATCCCCCGGCGCCTTGGAACCCCCGGCGCGATTCTAACAACTAGTCTCCTAGGCTCCTCAACGTCTTCGCTGTGCAATGGTATGGTGAAGCAGAGTTCTGGCTGGCCCTGGGGAAAGTCTTTTTGAGTGTGGGGTTGATGTTCTTCACCTTCGTCGTGATGCTGGGAGGGAACCCGATCGGCGATCGGTTTGGGTTCCGATACTGGAACAACCCGGGCTCCTTCCAGGAGCACTACAAAACAGGCGACCTCGGCCGGTGGCTCGGCTTCCTGGCGTGTTTGATCCAGGCCAGTTTCACGATCGCCGGTCCGGACTATGTCTCCATGGCGGCCGGAGAGACAATCAACCCTCGCCGCGAGCTGCCAAGGGCCTACAACGGGGTGTTCTACCGGCTCACCACCTTCTTCGTCCTCGGTACCCTATGCATAGGCATCCTCGTGCCATACGATGACCCGACGCTGAAGAATGCCTATGAAGCCGACCTTCCTGGTGCGGCCGCGTCTCCCTATGTGGTTGCCATGGACCGGCTCAAGGTCTCCGTCCTCCCACACATCGTCAACGCCATGGTCCTCGGCGCGGCGTTCAGCGCGGGCAACAGCTACGTATACTGTGCCAGTCGAAGTCTCTACGGACTGGCGTTGGACGGGAAAGCCCCACGGATCTTTACAAAGTGCACCAAGTCCGGTGTTCCCATCAACTGTGTCGGGGTCGTCCTCGTCATCGCGCTCCTCGCCTTCCTGCAGGTTTCCAACAGCGCCTCGGTGGTCTTGCAGTGGTTTGTCAATTTGGTACGTTATTTTCCAGATTACCACTTTCCAAAATCACCACCTAACATACAGCACAACAGGTGACCGCATCCCAACTGATCAACTTCTCCGTCGTCTCCTTCACCTACACTCGGTTCCGAAAAGCCTGCATGGCCCAAGGCATATCCCGCGAGTCCCTCCCCTACCGCAGCCGAGGCCAACCCTACGTGGCGTATATCGCCGCGGTGTGCACGGGCGTGATGGCCTTCGTAGGCGGCTATGAGGTCTTCCTTCCCGGCAACTGGGACATCCCGACATTCTTCTTCTCGTATACGATGATCGGCGTGTTCCCAATCCTTTACTTTGGGTGGAAGATTATCCACCGGACGGAGGTCCGGAAGCCTGAGGACGTTGATCTGGTCACGGGGCTTGCGGAGGTGGAGGAGTATACGAGGAATTATGTTCATGTTCCTTCTAAGTATGTTTCCCGGTTTCCTGTTTCTTGTTTCCACATCAAGTTGCTAATTTTCTGTGTAGGAATCCCTTTGGGAGGTTTCTCGATTTTGTTTTTGGCTAGTATGCTTGATTCTCTTTCAAAATTTCACGTAGTATATGCTGTTATTATACACGAGTTAGCATAGACAATGCATTATTTATCATAGTTTTCTCTTCCTCCTCTGTTCCTACCCAGTAGACCCAGCAATAAATGCGATACTTATATTACACAACTTTCATAATCTTAACACATGCAATAAACCAACCCTTCTATAACCCTCCCCCTCCTATACTCCCCTATACACAGATATAAAATCTCCCCAAGGATCAATTCCCCTCCCCCTCCCCCTCCTTCTTTTTCAACGCCTCCAGCCTCGCCTTATTCCTCTTCCCCAACACCCGCAAGGTATTCTTCTTCTCAATCTCCGCCATCTGATCCCAGTTCGCAATGCGCGACAGCGACCCATCCTGATTAACGACCAGCGGGCCCATGTGGTCCAGTTTAACGGTGGAGCCACCCTCGCTGACGTCGAGCTTGGTTGTGCCAGATGTGGTAGAGCTTGCGTCGGGGAGAGCGAGGTATTCTTCGGAGTCTACGCTGGCGGGTTGGGATTGGGTTGGAGTTTTGTTATCGTTGTTTTCTGGCGTTGAGGACATTGTGGAGTGGGATCTGGGTTTGGTGTGCGCGGGTGTCGGCGTCGGGTGGGTGTGGCTATTGGGGGTGGAGAATGGTGCGGGACACTGCGCGTTGAGGATTGAGTAGAGCTGGGTATTTGGAGATTGTGAGAAGAAGCGGGCGGATCGGGTTGGTAGTGACGATGAGGACGAGAGTAAAGCTGCGCTGGGTTGAATGGCGTGGAGGACGGCGGAGTGGGACGCGGCGTGGACTGGGGTCGAGAGGAGCGGACTGAGGAGGATGGGGAGGAGGGTTGCGCGGTGGTTAGGCATTGATTTTCTTTTCGGCTTATTCCCTTTTCTTTCTTTTCTTTGGCTTTGGTGGGGGGTTGGAGGTAGAGTTTGGAATGTGAGTGTTGGCTGGGTTGGGTGGGAGGTTTGGTGGTTGCGGAAGATGCGCTGCCGGTGGAGCGGCCGGGATGATTCTAGAACGATCAGCAGTCAACTGGTTCGTACCTTTTACTCGGAGGTGACTATACAAACAATCAAGTAATAGCATGGGTGGTCAATTATAAATAGATTATTCTCTTAATTATGTATATTTGTTTCTAACTATATAATACACTCCCACCGATTATTCGGTCGAACTACCGGAACCACCAATTGACCTGTAATCATGTTAGCAGTCCTTCATTCCCCTGCTCCAGAAATGAACCAGAGGCAATAGGTAAGTACTCACCGAAGCAGTCACACCCTCCCCAACACCCTTGATACTATGCCACCAGCCACTAGGGATGAACAAGCCATCCCCAGCATCCAAACGCGCCTCGTACCCATGGGCCGGCAGGGAAGCATCCCGATCGTCTCCCCAAACAGCCCGTTCCAACAAAACCCTCTCCCTCCCCTGCATCATCTCCTCGCCCCGGAAAGCAGCCGCCCCTCTGTCCGCCCGTTGTCCCAGCTGTCTCCTAACCGACGCAAACACCGCCTGTCCATCATCAGGCGCCAATAACCGCACGATCTTCTGCCCAGCGAGCTGCACAAACAGATTGGGGTTCGGATCGCGGTGGAGAGGCGTATACGTAGGCGGATATCCGATCCACACATTCGTATCGTACACGTCGCCCCTCCCCGCCTGGGCTACCAGCTCGGGAGTCGGGAAGTCGTCGCGCAGGACGGCCGGGAGGTCGAGAAGCTGGCATTGGGCTAGGTAGAGCTGCGAGGCTTGTGGTTCGGTCTCTGCGGCGCGGATCCACTGTAGGAAGAGGCTTAGGGGCGCGTGGAAGTGGCGGAAGCTGGGTTCGGAGGCAGCATCGGATTGTGTGGGCGGTTGTGTGAGCTCTAGCGGCACGAATGCGTCTGCGCCGTGTTGTTCTAGATAGGTCGTGTTCAGCCGGGAGGTGCTTGGATAGAACCAGCGCTCGAAGGCTGGGAGGTTCTGGAAGTGCTGTCGTGGGAGGACGGTGGGGAGCTCTGGGGTGAAGGATTGTTCTCGGAAACGTGCGACGCTGGCATCCTCGAGGGTCTGCAGGGGACAGTAGGAGCGGAGGTGCGATTTGGTGCTGAATCTCGACCTAGGTAGCTGTTGGATGGGGCTGCTCGTCTTGAATCGGATGGCCACGGGGTAGCGTTGGACGCAAACCCATGGGTTATTTTGGAACAGGCATTGTGAGCGCTTCATCCAGAAACCGATTGTTTTCTATTGCTGCTGCGAAGATTAATGGTTGGGTAGTTAGTATGTATGTCATGAGCAAATCTACAGAGGAGATGGTAAGTGAACGTGAAATGATTCCACAGAGGGTCTGGAGATCATCGGGGAATCTCCACTTCCGGCATCCGAGGTTCCTGATGGTGCCTTAATACTCCATTTACACATCAATCAATCTGCCTGCTTTTGAACCTGTTTAGTACCTAAGGTGTCTTGATATGAAAGATAGGACAATTGTTAATGTTACACTTGAGCGTGTTGTCCATGCTGGGCATGTGACTGTACTGAAGACTGAACAACCAACAACACTGATGGATTTTGTTGAACCTATTTCATCTCCTGTCCAGTCCATTGTAGACACTCTACTACTCAATCACAATTGACATTCCCAAAAAAATAATTCTGACCCTATTCAAAACTGGAATCAATTGATCACAAATCGGGGATCGTGATTGGGTGCGGGCCCAGTCCGGGGAAAACGGAAAACCCCGCGCGGCTTTTTTGGCCGAGACAATGAGAAGGAATTTCTCCGCACTCGTTGCTGCTCGACTTCCCTTCAGACATCGAATCATCCCACCCGTTTAAGTCCCCGGCATGGCCTCAGAGTCGCCCCAGCTGGATGCTACTTCATCCCAGGCGGGTTCAGGGGAGCAGATCGCCACCACTCCCATCGATAGCGCCAAGAGAAAGGCGGAACAGACCAACGGAACCCAAACGCGCACCAAGCGGAATCGCTACATCTCCATCGCCTGGTATGACCTCGGATCGTAAAAGCTCCGGTGGGAGCTCTGTGCGGTGCTAACTATGGGCTAGTAATGAATGCAAGCGTCGCAAGATCAAGTGCAATGGCCAGGTGCCTTGCCAGCGATGTGGGCACCTCAATTTAGAATGTGAGTGGTGCCATCTGGGGCGGAACCGACCCCAGACCCCGTTACGAGGCTGTCTGTGGCTCACCCCATCTGTCTAGGTCGATATGCCCCCAATTGCTGTAACAACAACTTTAAGGAATCCGAGTATGTCTAGTCTGGTCCTTTTTATTTTGCCCACTCCCTGATGGGGTGGGTGATTCCGCACTTTCTGCAGCCACTAACGGAAGATCCTTGCCAACAGCGAGTTTCGGTCCATGAAGGCCCAGATCAACACCCTTCAGGATCAAGTTAACAGCCTCTTCACGAATCTGAATGATCTTCGTACTCAGCGATCTTCAGTCGACTCTCCCAATCTGGACGGATTTTCGCATGATGGCTCTCACTCCGTCTTCACCCCGATGCATAGTCATACGGGGCTAGCCAGACCGCGTGCCCGACATCCTCGATTCCATGGCCCCACGAGCTCTGCTTTCAATTTCGATGTAGCCCGGTCGAGTCTTCAGAATATGGGCATCGCGCCTGGAGATGAAGTCATCGCGGATGATTTGACCACGGCACATGGTACGCCTGCTGCCTCACCTCCCCCGATGGCTTCCTTTATCCCTCCGGTTCATCCCACCAAGGATCCCATTTGGGCCATCAAGCGCGACGAAGCTCTGCGGCTCTGTCGCATCTATGAAGAAGAGATCGGCATCATGTATCCGCTGGTCGAGATTGAGAAGGTGACCCAGCAAGCGAGTCTGCTGTACACGTTCATGGAAGCAGCCACGCGGACCGGGTTCACCAAACGGGGAATGCTCGGGTCGGATGGCCTTCAGGATGACGCGACTAACCTGCTCAAGATGATTATCGCGACAACGCTGGTCGTTGAGGGAGGTGGTCAGAGCGAGCTTGGTCAGCGTCTATTTCTGAGCGTGAAGCCCGTGATTGAGTCCAAGCTGTGGGGTCCCTTGGACATTAAAACCATTCAGCTATATGGAATGGTGGTATGTTACCTTGCTCTTCCAGATTGGATTGCGATTGACACCGTAACAGGCAACGTATCACTTTCATACGGACGACGACGCTATGGCTTATCGCGTCATTGGTCTCGCCGCGCGGATGTGCCTTGAACTCGGGCTGCATCGACGTGATGCGCTGGTCAAGTCCTTTCCCGAGGAACAGTGGCCCGAAATTGTCAAGATATTCTGGGCTATCTATAGTCTGGACCGGCGGTGGAGCCTCGGCACCGGGCTCCCGTTCGTTATCCAAGACGAGGATATTGATCCAAACCTTCCAGAGCCGGTAAGTATTATTGGAGAGACACATGTCACGTGCGTTTAGCACTGGTTGCTGACTGCTGTGTAGGATCCGTCGGTGCCGTATTTAAGGAGTATGGTTTCGTACAACCGCATCAGCTCCAAGATCTGGTATTCCGGTCTTGGCTCGGAGGGCACCACCGACATTCGCCGTGACGAAATCGGGTACCTAGACTACCAGATCCTTCAGTGGTACAAACAGGTTCCGGATGCGCTGAAGTTCTATCCGGTCGAGTCGCCCAAGCATACGGAGACAGCTAGTCGGGGGATCCGACGACTACGAGTACTCTTGTATCTGCGCATGAACCAACTCCGGATTCTCATCTACCGCCCGGTCCTGCACTCGGCCGCCAGCATCGCAGAGGACAAGGGGCATGCTCAGACTGTTGTCGATGTCGCCAAAGATACGGTCCGGGTCCTCACCCGGCTGAACCAGACGTCCGACATCTACCGGACGCAACAGATCACATTCAACTATTTCCTCGTGGCCGCTCTGGCCGTCCTTTTCTTAGCCGTGTGCCATGCACCTGTGGAGTTCAACCGCCAGGTACGAGATGAGTTCTACATGGCACTTGACTTGGTCAACGGGTTCAGCACCAAATCGTACGTGTCCAAACGACTATGGAAGACCATCAAGGGCCTCCGAAAGATTGGCGAGGGGCTGGGTGTTCTGGTCCGGCCGTTCGGATCAGACACCAACGACCCGCATTCCACCGCGGCGGTTGCAATGGCGGGTCTGGCCGGTCATTCCATCGAGGACCTGTCCATGTATGGGCCCATGGATGGGGCCGGTGAACTGGGGAATAGTCCCCTGAACGGGCTACAGATGAGCCACGAGCTCACCAATCTGTTCGAGGCTGTCGGGGGCTTTGGCAATCTGATTGCTCCCAACACGGCGTCCGACGGGATGAACGGGTTCGTTGGCCACGGCAGTGAGATCCACAACACGGGGGAAGGGCTTTCGGGGGTCTTGGGAGATGAGGGGGAGCTTTCTCGGGTGATTCGCGATCTGTTTTGAGCATTTTCGTCTGGTTTGGGAGTCTGTCGCATATGTCTGACGGTGGTTTTTTGTTTGTCCTATAAGTATATCGCATTGATGGTGGTGAGATACCCAGGCTCCATGATTCTTCGTCGTTCAACGCACACTTTTTTGTTTTCTTTTTTTTTTCTTTTTTCTTTTTTTCCAAACAGAAAGCATCGAAACCGAGGAATTCATCTCAGCGTGTATGACATGCCAGTATCATGACCAGGGAACGATAATGTAGATCCGTGTATGACCACGTGACCAGATCGGACATTGCTGCCTTACTGCCTGAAGCCGGACTGTTTCTCGCCAACTTTCTTGTCTCTCCTGCACTCTCTTCTCCTTCATTCACTCTCTCTCCATCTCTTCTCTTATCTCTACTTTCTCTGGCTCTTTACTCTTCCATTCTCTCTCGCATCCTCTGCAATGTTCCTCCTATCTTAATCCAGAATTGACATCCGACACGGTGCTTGGCACATCCACATTCCGATTGTCAACCCCCTCTTCTCCCACAGTCCACTCACCTTTCGTTTCTGCGACCGCCACTAGGCAGATTATTATCGCCTGTCTACCACTCACTTTTCCCACCGCCCCACGAACCTAATTTCGGAGACCCCTCGACTCCCGTCGATCTATCCGACCGCACCACTGTTTGGAGTCTCTGGTCCCTGAAAGGACAGAACGGAAAAAAAAGAAAAGTTGTTAGTTGAAGGAAATCGGGCGACAAAAACAATATTATTCTCATCCCGATCGCTCATATTCGAATGCTTGCTTGAAGCGACTCAAGTGGGGAACAACAATTCACGATTCTACAATCCCATCGCGTCAACATTTCCTCATCGCACAATCACTCCCCGCTTCGGCTTCTTGCTATGACCGTTCTGGTTCTCTGAACCTCCCTGTCGCCCGTCCACAACTCGCGGTTCCTCATTTGATGACGGACCTCTATTCCGGAATTGCACATCGTCGATAACTTCCTTTCCATCCGTCGATAACCTTCTTCCATCCGACCGCGGTAACTCTATCCGGAGCTTGTACCAGGTGCAAGTAGTTCTTCGGACTATCGCGGGTCCAGACTTGTCGAGGCGGTTTTTGATTTCTAGCTCGGCAACGTGTCGAGAGAGACAGGTTCGGCGTTGGCCGACGGCCTAGACAGGCTGGATTTGAGTCAACTGTCTGAATCAACGCCCTCGTCGTCGACGGCAGATTCGTTCGATATGTCCTCGTCGGAAGGTGCGCCGGAGTCATGGATCTCCTCGTTCTGCGGCATGATGGGCCACGAGTTCTTTGCCGAGGTGTCGGAGGATTTCATCGAGGATGACTTCAACCTGACGGGATTGCAGTCGCAGGTCCCCATGTACAAGGAGGCCCTGGAGATGATCCTGGACGTAGAGCCGGAGGAGGAGGACGAGGACGAAGAGGAAGAGGAGGAAGAGGAGGACGAGGACGAGATCCTGGGCGACGACAGGCCGGCGTTCCGCAGGGCCGGCGAACGGCGACACGCACGGGTGGCGAGCGATTTGAGCGTAATCGAGAGCTCGGCGGAGTTGCTCTACGGGCTGATCCACCAGCGGTACATCACGTCGCGGCCGGGGATCCAGCAGATGCTGGAGAAGCTAGAGATGGGACATTTCGGCAGCTGCCCTCGCGTCTACTGCAACGGGAGCCGGCCCGTGCCTGTAGGATTGTCCGACACCCCCGGCCAGCAGACCGTGAAGCTTTACTGCCCGAGTTGCCAGGATATCTACACGCCCCCGAACAGTCGGTTCCATTCGGTGGACGGGGCCTTCTTCGGGACTACGTTCGGGTGTCTGTTCTTCATGACCTTCCCAGACCTGGATGTCGCGCCTCGCCCTGTGGATAACCCATTGTCTCCCGTGCGCGCTTCTCCGGCGGGCACCCCGCGGGAGCCTCAACCGACGGAGATCAACGGGGTGCGGACGGCCAGTTTTGCAGCGGGGCTTGGACCCGGCCGGGTCTACGAGCCGAAGATCTATGGCTTCAAGGTTTCCGATCGGTCCCGGTCCGGTCCGCGCATGAAGTGGCTGCGGATGAAGCCGGTGGAGATTCGCGAACTGGACGAGATGACTCGATATGAATCGCAGCATCCGCTCGCCGACCGGGAAGGTGACATGGACATGGGAGCTGGCGCTGCGCAGAATGCGGCGATCGCCCGACGGAAGAAGGCACCCATGCGACGACGACGCTATAACACGAACCCGGGCATGAACGGAGGAGAGGGGCTGTAGAGTCACTACTATCATCACTATTTCTTTTTCTTTTTCTTTACGTTTCTTCTCTGTCCTCTTTTCTCTTTTCTCTTTTCTTTTCTTGTTTATTTCTTTTCGTTGATATGAGGTAATGGCCTGTTCATATAGAGAGGGAAGACATTCCCCACAAGAGACATGTTCCTCGAAGGGGTAAAAAGAAGGCGACGGAAGAACATGCATAGTCTTCCTCTATGGTTACTTTAACTTGACCCTTGATTTAACTTCTCAGTGTTACCTTCCTTGTTCATTCTTCGTATGGAACCACTGTCCAGCTCCATCCGCCCTCTTTCTCCTTCTACCATCCCCGCCTACCACCGCTGTCCGCTTCAATTCACGTATTTATTTCCTCCTTTCTTTGTGTTTACGTTCTCATGTTTCACCTGCATCAAGGCGTCCTTAAGTTGAGTTGAATTACGTCTATCGGCGTACATATCCGTGTCATTCCGCATTCTTCCTATGAACGCTAAGATTAAGTAACTGAGGCTCCATCGCAGACTAAATAGGATGGTGTAAAAAGGGGACAAAAGGAGGAGGGAGTTGTATAATTGGACAGGAACGATTGCAGTGGAATGAATGTGGCATAATAGGCGTGTTTGGTTTCGTTGGGGGACGGACATAAGAGGAGATATGATCAATGAAACAGAAAGAAAAGGAATTGGCTTGACTGGTGTCTTCTATGTTGGAGGGGAATGAATGAAATAGATGTTAGGTAGGTAGTCAATTGAATATTTGAACTGATCCATTCCTACTATAGGTATAGATGTTTGCAGATAGGCCTGAGTAACGGATCTCTCTCCCTCTGTCTTCCCCCCCTACTCATTCATCTTGAGATTCAATCAACAGTGGGACCAGTTTGCCATTTCATCAATTATTAATTAAGATAATATCTCTAAATCCATTCCATCTACTCAAACAAAACACAGTACCGTCGGAAGGACCGTCTTAGTGGGATGGTAGTGGTACTACGGTACCACCAGATTGGTACAGGAGCACTGACCTGACGCAGCGAACAAAGAAAGGTTCCTTTCACCAAGTTTCCTTCAATTTAGTACTACTTTATCTATTCCTTATTCAGTAAGTTTATTTTGAACTTTTTTTTTTTTGGCCCCTCTCATTTCCCAGGAAATGTGTTGCTGTTGTATTTCATGTTGTAGTATATCATAATATAATATACGGTATACCTCCTTGGCTCTTAATTTTAATCTCGATATCGATTTTGATATTTTGAAAAGAAAGAAAAACAAACAAGTGTGAGTAATTAGTAAAATGAAATTTAAAAATGAATTATTTCAAAGAAAAAGAATGAAGAGAAATCCCGCACATCTTCCGCCCTTTGTCTACCTCTGGATCGATCTGATCCCATCCAGTCTACCGGGTCTGATCTGGTCATTGAGTACCGTCCACAGGAAGATCAGAGAACCGTGCTGCCTGATTACTACTATCTACCTTACTAATTACGTATATAGATAATATATCTATCTATATCTATCCAGAGAGATGGACAGATTGGACACGTGGGTAAAAGAGAGAACCTTAAAGAATAAGTTAGTTAGAGGGTGGTGGTGAGCAAGACAAGGCAAGGGACTGGACCAGTCTAAATGAATGGGCCCCGCGTAATCTTCACGATATTCACTGGTTACGAGGTTTCAATAGGTGGTTAGTTATATAGGTGTGTAGGGTTAGAAGTGGTTTCATACAGCTTTGAACTACTATCCCTCCACTCTATCCCTACTCTGTACAGAACTCATGTATCTTAATTCAAATCGAAACACGAACGAAAGAAGACACACATGATCCAAGAAAGAAAAAGAACGAGAAGAGAACAACCCATCGGATTTCACCGGCCATAACGCTGTAGCCTCTGCTGTTGCTTCGCTGCATTGCTGCCTGCAGATGGGAACCCCTTCCATTGGCTTGTCTCTTTGAGCCGCGTTTGAATTAATCAATCAATCAACTTAGCTGGACGAATTACACCTGCCAGCTTGGACGTGGTCGTCGACGCTACTGCAGCAGCCTGGAGTCCCTGCCGACACGAGCCCGTGCCAAATCCGATTATCGCCTTTTCTTCCTTTCGGTTTTGTTGTTTTGTTATTTTGTTGTTTTATTATTCCCCTGCCTAATTCAGTCCGGTTTTTAACTTCGGGCGTTCGAATCATGACTATTGTCGATCCTGTTATCCGGTCCAGCCGCGAGGAAATGTTTATTGCCCTGCTTAGGTCCGTCCATACACCTACCTGGTCTTTCTATCTTCTAGCTTTCCACCTGTCTCTCTACTCTGCCCATGTAGGTATGTATTATGTAGCCCAATGAGGAGAAAGGAACATAGGCAACATCCATGAAAGCGACGGACTAGTCCGTCCCCCATGTCCAGCCTTGTCCAGCCTGTCTCCACAATAGTCGTCACTTGGGTTGTCACTCGTCAGGCGTCACTCGTCAGGCGTTCAAGTCAAGTCGAAATATAATGCGGCTTTAGTTAACAACCCTGTAAACCGATTTCATCGCCTCAATCGATCTTCGCCCTTTGCCCGACCGGAACACCTGACCAGTTCGCCCAGCCCGAGATTCATATATCAACTACCTAGCATAAGGCTGAGGCCAGATTAATCCTCGAATCAGATTCATTACATCGCCAGTCCGTCTGTGCAGGGCCTCCCCCCGTGGGTGGAATGATGCCGTGACGAGGGCCCGGGAAAAGCAAATTGACTGGTCCCGCGGGGATCCTCGGTGCAGCCACACTTGTTGCGTGGCATTCTTCGGGTCATATCCCAAAGCAAATCGGGCAATCAGGGAAGGTAAATAAGTCGCTGATGATCTTGTGGTAATTTCTGTGATTCGAGGAATTCTTCGGGATGATAATGCTGGACGACCCACTGCTGGGAATAACCACTGGGAAGACCACTGAAAATACCAGGGCTGGATGCAAACACACCGGGGTCAAACCTGCAGATATCAAGGACTGATCAATTGCCAAAAGCAAAAATACAATGACATAACCAACCAGGATGGGGCATAGACAAGGAGGGTGAATGGCACTTGGTATGAATGGTCCGAATGAAAGACACCTGCAGTTTCCCATTATTGAGGTGGCAGGGCGCCTGGAAACATTCCAGGCCAGTCGAACCACATCATTCGGCGAAGACATGGGCGAAGGGAACCCGGGGCAAATACAAGACACGATACAAGACAGAAAGAAACCAGAGGCCGTCCACGGGCCAGTATTGATGTCACACAGGGTAGATAGTTCAAACCAAGTAGACCCCTCGTCTACTCCAGTTGATGTAACTATTATCCTGCAATGACTCAGTCCATAGACAAGAGTTTCGTCTAACGGATAGTAATATATATGGTGTTTAATTTAATACCATTTCATGCGAGGAGCTGTGGAGGCGCAGCACGGTCGTACTCGCAGAGCCCCACCACACTGAGCAGCTTCGGTCCTTGTCCGTAGGGGCCTTGATTGAGATGAAAGGTATCCGAAGGGTGACTGGATACTGTTTTGAAGGTGGAGAAAGTTGACAGCCTGATGGCAACGACGGTGGTATCAGTATGGTCGAGTCGACAATTTCGCCGTAAACAACCCATAGTACTCATGGCCCTTGGAGAAGCCTATACTCCGTACGGTACGGTCAATTAGAAGAAGGCTAGTCAGTCGTTCATGAGTCGTCTGGTCTTTGCGTGCCGGACGGAAGGCGCCGGACGGGATCAATGGAGCTCATCAATCAATCAATCCTTCGCTTTGTTTCCACTTTCGGCCAAGTCAGTCGTTTCGCTTAAAGGGTCCTTTTATCTCCGTATCCAGAATTGAGTCTAGTGAGTCAGTGACGACAGACCACTGACTCCTCAGGGACGCAATCCTCCCGCCAGAACGTCCAGCCCCCAACGCCCAAAAAAAAAGCACCTGGGAAGAATCCGAGAGGACGTCGGAAATTTGGGGGCCGGATTTGAGGACAAGAAGATACTATAAATTGCACAGACATACAAAAATAGATGGGAGGAAGGGGGTGCAGGATGGGCACTCCAATCAATCAGTGTGTGGACACTGAAGGAGCACCAGGCACTAAAGAACGGCGCCATCAGCACCAACGATTGATTATTCGCTTTCTTCGTCTTAAGCCCAGAATCAATCAAAGACCCACTGGGCAGTTTGGGGGCCAAGGAAGCGGGTTGGCTCCATCGTTGTTAGTGCCAAGTTCGCAGGGTGGAGAGTGGAAAGGAGATCGAACCAACAAAGCTCCCAACGGCACTAGTAGCCTAGCAGCCCTTAGTTCCGAGTCAATCCTCTGTATGGACGATGGATGGATCTGGACAACACCGGTCCTACCGAGAAACCTGCCTTTGTTTCAGGGTCTATCAGGAATGAAAAGACTGGCCTGAGGGTCCTTGATCAATTTACGGGTTCTTTCTTTCTTTATGCTTTATCGTGTTTGTATTCGTAAGTTCGTACAGTATCAAGCACTTCGCTTTCCCTTTCCGGGATAAATCAACAAATCAACCAAGGAACACTCCATGTCATCCAGGAGGAACGCCATTCATCATGCATCTATTGGCCCTAAAACCAGCGTTCAGCTGGACCAGTTGCAACACAAAATCTTGCCGGAATAGGAGATGGGGGCAATCCAAAACACGCCTTTTCCAATCCCATATCAGAGCGTGAACAAAGGAGAAAAGGGAAATCAGGGGAAAAGAAAAGAAATAAAACAAAAGAAAGAAAGAAAAATCGTATATAATCATAACTGAACAAATTCAAACTTCGTCATATGGGGCTGGGATATCAAAATAATGGAAACGAGTGCGGCGAGCATGGGCCAGACTCGGGGGTGAGAGGGCAAGCCATGATGGAAGGCTCCGGAGGCGTCGACGGAGAAGAGTGATCATCGCTGTAAACGTGCGACAATGGCGGGATCTGAAGCACATCGAGTTAGCTGCGTGTTTCTTTTCCCCAGGATGCAAGAGGGTTCAATGAGAGCGGGTATGTACAGGGATATTGTTCTCGGCAAAGTGTTGAGGAGTCGGGCATAGATCTATACCAGCCATAGACGCATAGCTCATGCTAAACGGACTGACGATGTCCTCATCTGCGTAGGGATGAGGACGCTTCACGGGGCCGGTGGGTGCCATGGTGACGGGGAGGATCGAGGGCATCGGGGAGCCGTAGTCGTTTTGGTACGTATCGTTGTAGGAGGTGGGGATGGTGTGGTATCCGTGAGGGTGTGCGTAGACCGACTGTCCGTAGGGGTCCAGGTGCGGATAGGAGGGATAAGAGAAGACCGGCGGGGGCGAGGCCGAGAGCTGTCGGGTGCATTGGTGTGAGAACATGGAGCTGCGGTCGTCTGGCGCCGAGTAGTAGTCATAGGCAGGCGCTCGCTCCGTCGCCGTCCGGCTGGTGGCATCCGAAGTTGACTTGGATACGCGGTGGGATTTGGCGCGAGGTTTCACCATGGTCTTGGGCGGTTCCAGCTTCTCATGGGTCTGCTCTGGGGACTCAGAGGTGGATGCTGCGCGCTTTTCCAGGTCTTCCAGGCGACGCTTCAACTTCTTGCCTGTTGCACAACAAACATTAGAGACACGGTCGAGTCTTGACTCAGGATCAGAGACACAATGCTTACGGTAGTTACGCTGGGCGATTCGGTTCTGAATTCGACGACGCTCGGCCAGATCGGATATCTTGGTCCAGTCCTCATTAGGGTTGGCGTTGGGACTGAAGGCACTGCTTGTCCCGTGATTCGAAGAAGCCCTCGAGCTGGTCGAGTGGCCATATGAGTAGGTGGAAGAACGGTGCATGGTGGGCATAGGATAGGACAGCCGGGGTGTCCAATGTTGGAGAAGGTGAGCAGGTATCCTTCCAATAAGGGAAGTTTAAGGTTCAGATAAATGTTGAAGACTCAAGAGTAGGCAGATGAATCAATATACTGGTTGGGTGTGGAGGAGTGATGGAGTGGGGGGTCAACGAGGCATATATAGACAAAGAACCAAGCGTAGAGTAGTACTTTAGGCACCGTGAAGACCGAAGGCGAATGGAATACTGGATGATCGAGGCTAAACGACATGAAGGGTAACAATGCGTATTTAAAAGAAGGCCGAGCCATGGGGACGATCAGCTGGAGAAGTTTAGGGCCGTAGCTTATGGCCTTTTTTTTTCTCTGCTAAGCCCCCGAGTCCGAATCCGCCCATGACGATGAACTGCCCTGTCGATAAGCACGTCTTCCGTATTCCGAAGAAATTAAAAACAATTAAGAAATAATTAAATGGTAATGGTCATACCTGATGTTTAGTATTTAGTATTTATGATTATTATTATTATTATTATAACCATCATATTATTTATACAGTTATTCATCTTTTTTTTTTTCTTTTTCTTTCTCAGAAAATCGATTGATTTGTATCATTCAAGCGTATTCTCTCCGTTTCACAGGGGTTGGAGGCCTGAGAAACTGGCAAGGTATGCATGGCTCAACCATGTGTTGGTAGGGAACAATTCCCGAATAGATAGATATGCAGCGCTGCGTCACTTACCACATTATGGTAAACTGTAACTAAAATGTAAAAAAAAAATGTCAACTGTAAAAATGATTTCATGTTGGACTAATTGAACATGCCAACAAGTTGTGAGGCTGTTTTGAGTGGGACTCTTAACGTAAATAGGCCGACAGTGGAAAAACAGATGAATCAGGCAGTGCTGAACCAACAGACCGGGATACGTTGACCAATCTGATCCATGTGGTCCCAGATATTGGACATACCACTGCAGTTAGTTCACCCTGAGTTGCTGAGTTATTGGCCGAATCTACCAATGCGCCTTGCGACCGAATCCAACAGGACAAATTGACGGGATAAGAATAGAAGCATTGTGAAGTAGATCTTCCTTCTGTTCTCCTTCGCCCGCCCCCATCTTGTCTCCTTCCCCCTCCCCCCCTCTCTCTCCCCACAGTTTTAGTTAGTATCGGCGAGTTTGATCGGGGTGTGGGAACTCAAAACATCATGCAGCTTTCGAAGGGGCTAAATCAACTTTTTCGGTGTTCAAGGAGAAAAATGGAAACTAGTGCAACCATGAGCAATTTCCCTTTTGGTATAGTCTGTCTGGTGTGCCTGAGTAGATTCCGACCGACCAGCTTTTTAGTTCTAGTTTGGGGGACATGAATGCAAGGCCATAACATCAGGCGCCCTTACCCCCCTCTCAGCCTTCCCTCCTCGACTATCGGCGTTACCTCGCACGTTGTGTGGAGGGAATAGGGTGGGGTAGGGGATGCATATTTTACACGAGCCTGGAGGGGGGGAAAATTGCCTCGAGCAATGATTTTAATGATTTCTATGATTTTGAGTAATTTTGAGCGAGGGAGGGCTCCCAAAAATGTCCCCATGCAGTGTGGTTTGACAAGGGGTCGTGGTAGTTAGGGAGTCGGAGCCGTGCAGGGAAGAAGGGGCTGAATTACCAGGTGGTATTGTAATGGTATTGCGGTACTATGGTCACACTTGGCTGAATCCTACTGGGGATATACTGGGAGGAGGCACAGCTAGGTTCTCTCATCATCTTTCATTGTTCTTATTATGGTTGAGGTAATTATTGATCCTTTTCATGCCGGTCATCTGAAGGATCTACAATGCTTTTCTAGACTGTCATCACTTTTTTACATCAACGGACATGACTACATTATCTTGTCAGATTATCAAGTAGATCGCTTTAATCTCTGGAAACACCAGGACCCCTCCAGACTAGAGTTTACCTGGTACTGTCTAACTCTTTCTCGTATATGTATATGCCTAACAGTACCGTCCTAGAATCAATATCCTCCAAGAAACATCACGGTGATTGGATACCAGTGTCACCTCATTGGGCTTAGCTTTTCTTCTAGCCTTTCTTCTACCAGGCTACACTTGGAACATCGTACTCGGGTGGAGTCACCATGGGCGAGGGCTGATTTGAACAGGTTTTGGCCAGTGTGCCGACAAATCTAGGTCGCAACTGGATAGGGCCTTGTCAGTGGACGGGTCTCATAACTCAAATCATGCTCTCCTGTTCGGGTCCTTTTTCTAGTTTGGGTACCTGGGCCTAAGACGTTTCGCGTTGGTACAGTATAGTTTACACTACATCTTGGGTATAATATCAAGCTATCCCGCGGAGACATGGGTACCGGTAGTATCCGCCGTGTCGATAGGAAGGTAGAAAACAAAGATCCCTATCGGTATGAAAACCCCATGAAAGTCGAAGTAAAAGGAGCATCCACACACCCTGCAGCGATTTCCGCCTCCTCGAAATCAATACCTCCGTTGAATACCAGGCAATCCGCACATACCGATCAAAATATCTCCACCAGGGTATCTCGTCAGTCTCCAGACCAATCACCCCCGGGGATACCGATTTCCCTTCTTGGAGATTGCTCCCCAAGGGCTATTCTGTTCAAACTACCACCTCGCGTCCACTGTAGATCGAGAATGGCTCGCCCCCCAATGCGGCATGTCTCAGGAGGCTCGAATACCATCCTGACTTCCCAGACGCACGGTCTCGACTTCCGCCACGTTGCACCCCTTCATCTTGGCAATACACTAAGGATAAGGATCTCACCTTGTCCTTCAAGTCAGTCATGAATGCGGGTGGGGGAGTCACCGGTCTGACGCGGTTACTTTATTCCTGCAAATCTGCATTTCCGGTCCGTGATGACGGATCCTTTGTACCTGGTATCTACCCGTATTTTTTCTTTTCTTTTCTGTTCTTATTGTTTCTTTTCTGTCTGGGGTAGACGGTCCATCGCATAATGCCACCTTCAAATATCTCCTTTGCAAAACGAAAATTATACGAAAGAAAAAAAAAATCACAATGCATGTATCCAGGGAGATCAGATCATTCGGTCATCCAAAGTCGTACAGAACAGGGCGCAGGACAGTCGACTCCCTTTGGCCCGTTTTCCCCTTACAGGTGTCGCATTCTTCTCATTCCAACTATTTGTCCCTTTGCGGTTGGTTTCGCTTCCTCCATAGTCAGTGGGCAGAATCAGTCTGCTGTCTGTCATTATGGTTTATTTTTATCATGCCACTACTTTCGGGGTGGAGGCGTTTAATGCGCAGTAAGGCTCAATTCACATGGTCTTTTGGAATCTGACCCTAACCCGCGGCTAGCTAGTATGTATGTATGTTATGCCCGCAGTGCATGCAGTACACTATTGCAGTCGTTGGTTTATAACGGTAAAACGCACGTAAGATTCGACTTGCTCCCGTTAGGGCCCCCACACTTTTTACCCAGAGAATACGACATCGAAATCCTCCGTCGTCCAGTATTCAATGAACCCAGCGTCCATCAAGTATGGCCGCGCTAATGCTGTCCCCAAGGAGCCTCGATCCTCGACATCCAACTGGCACAGATATCACGAGCCAAGGCACTCGCTGTATGACCAACAATGCGAGAGAGATCCTCCGATAGAGTGGATAGATACCACTACAATGAGGCTCAAGCCCCCCGGAATAGCAACCATATGTGCAGGGTGAGATTGCCCTCATTGGATTCAGGTCCAGCGATTCATGCACGTTTTTTTTTGTCATCGCTTCTGTGCTGCTTCCATTTGTATCATGCGATGTAGGTAGGGCTGAAGAACACTACCGAGCATTACTACCTAGAGGTTATGTATGGCAGGGCCTATCTGGTCTATTGTTGACCACCTGGGCTAGTAGTGTAACCTTGATATAGCCCCTATCTAACTACTATGTCTTTCCTGTATCCAGAATAGTCAGTTTCTTCAGTTATCAAGCCAATCACATGGTTAAAACCAACCTAACACGACCCGACCCGTCTTCGTGACGAAGATAGATACGGACCGTCATCTCTTTCCTATCAGGTCCGGTTTCTCGAGCTGAAATCAAGCTTGGAGGGGGAAGGGAGTCTCCCATGACTTTGCCGGTTCCCTGTACAACCCATCGACCTCGTGTAGACGTCGCACTTGTCTATCCCACCCTTACTCTCCTCGAGGAGCCATGCGTCGACGCTCGTACAGAAGGAGGCACCATTAACTCCTCATTGTGGGTCTTGATTGTGATAGTTGGTGCAGAGGCGGATGGTGTGCTCTGAGTGGTTAAGTGGGAAAGATGGATACGATCGGACGGTGGATGTTCGAGATTATGTTTGGAGTGTTTGTCAGCCCGCTACGCAATCTGTATGTCTGGTTGTCTGCCTGGTGAAAGGGCGCGTTATTTACCAGACGAGGGTCATATGCTAATAATACAGTATCTAGTAGATTGCGTGTCTGTATCTAATATCTACTGGGTCAGTTGCATCGGGATATCCAAAAACAGTCAAGTTACGACTCATCTACACTCCCCATCTAACAGATTCCTTATCTTGTCACAGGCCTAGAGTCAAAAGCCAAAAAGTAAGTTTCGTTCTCTCCCGCCTTACCAACAATTACTCGCCACTACACTCGGAGTATCCGAAGTGTTACCTCTCGATTCAGCCGCCCAGCGGGGTACGGGAAATTCAATTTCCCACGTGGAGGCGGCGACGGGGTTGAAACATGAGGATATGTTCAACAACAACAAGGCACGAGATAGGGCCTGTCAGATGGGGATTCAAGTTCGAGTCGTACTGGGAGGAGAGGGGGGGGAGTAGGCACGAATCTGAGACGCATCTTTGCCTCGGTGTGGTTGTTTGTTAGTTACACAGTTGACTTACGGGCTGTATAACCAGGTATGTATTATATTAACCAATTGATATATTCATATGGTGCTACAACCAGTAAAGTAGGTAGGTGATGAACCAAATTTTAGAGGATATGTCATCCTATTCCACTCTTGTTACCGCCGAATGAACCCCACAGGGGGAAAGTAAGGTATGTGGATGTGGACCGCTCCCCCATATGCCTGCCATAGTTGTGCGTTCCGTAGTTCCACAGCGGTCCGGGACGTTGGATGGGGATCCTTATCAATACGGAGTACTCCGTAAAACAACAACAGAGGAAATAAACGATACGAAATAAATACGGATACCAGCCCGGACGTGGCAGTATGGATTTGTGCGTGCATGATGCACGTCCACCCTGGGAGGAAAAAGACTGGGAACTACGTAAACTTGCGCTGGCTTCATCCTAGCCACTGCACCCGACAAGAGCCTCAGCTCAGGCATCCAATGATCAACCATCCACGGTGCACACCGTGCAGGTAGGTATAGGTCATCCGGTATGTATCGACAATCCAATCAATCCGAGGCTGGGAACTGCTGTCGTACAAGGTCGATAATTAAAAAATACACAGTATACAACTATTGAATATAGAGAAATTATTATTAATCCTTATGTGATCAGGATTGATTTATCATCATGAGTCACGCAGCTAGTTAATTCCATGGCTGGTCGGGGTTGTGATACCCCAGGGTGGGAGATATCGGTGGTTTAAATCCGAACCCCGACAATTCCACTCGGGCCAAGTTCAGCCGTGGGGATGTTTGAAGATGACGGGGGATTTGGCAGATTGAAGGAGGGCAAAGGGCACAGGGCAAATTTGGAAAGGTAAATAAATACCAAAACTAAACTAAACCATAAAATGAAAATAAAATAAAATAAGAGGAGCTGAAAATGGGGTCTCTCTGCTTCCCCTCATGTACTCCCAAGAAACCAACATAAGACGTATAGCCAGATCCATAACTTAATTAACAACCTGAGTATCTTCAAGTTTAATAATATTACACCAGTGTTTCAGCAACCAAAACATCCTCTGACAGGTGATGTATCTACCTCTCCAAACAGTTATCCATCATAAACGTTCATAGAAGGCCCAGATAGTCCGTTTCACACTCTATCGTATCCGGGTCCCACACTAACTAACTAGTTATCCACCCTTCTAGCCGTGAAACACAGCCTTTGTTTTCCCCCTCCCTCTAACCCGACCGAGTAAGCGACGCGCAGATGCTTCTAATTATGGTCAACTTTGATCTGTTCGCTACCCGCTCTCTTGCAGTGATCGAACCCGATCTCCGAGATCACCGACCCGTGGCTGCCCCCCTCATCTCATCTGTTTCCGAGGTGTTGGTTGTTACAGGTGTTAGCTAACTGATTTAGCGTGTTCAATAAGATAAAGAGCTCTGCGACTCTAGGCACTTACTCAGTAGTGTCCTTTCCACCTAGCTGGCAGTAGACACAATATATGGTGGTTGTGTCCTGCCTAACCGGAGCAGCCCTTGCTTCCATGGATGCAAAAATACCCCGGGCTGTGTAGAGCGTACATTCTACCCCGTATCTTGGCCGCCTGCCCGTCAACATAGTATCTAAAAAAAGCAACAAAACGGGGCTCAACCTAACTAAATAAACAAGATGGGGGCCAGTTGAGCAGGTGAATTCCAAGTCTAAATGCTTATAGCGTTTCAATGTCTATTGTTTCATCTTATTGGGTCTGGAGTATTGCTGCTCTCCTGTCGTTCGGTGCTTTCCCCCCCACAGCCGTCGGCCATTTGCCATCATGAGCATGCCTGCTTTCACCTTTCTCCCTTTTTGCACTCGATCGGCGGTTTTGCTGCAAGGCAGATTTGAGAAGCGTCAGCTGTCGACTGTCAGGGGACGGTCGGTTCACTAATACTCGCTCCCACTGGGTTTGATGTTATCACGATCAGCGCGCTATCGCTGTTAAGTGTCCTGTGTGCTCGTGCCCGGCTAGAGCGGCTGTGTATGCGGTATATTGCCTTGAATGCGATTGTTGGACCTCGATAATCTCTGCCTATTTGAGATGGGACATGCATTGGAGACCGTAAAGGGTTCGTTCCTAGCGAAGATGGGGAAAAAAAAAAAGAGGCGTAAATCAAATGAAATACCAAAAAGCACGCTCATGCTAGTTCAATGAGTCGGGTGAAAAACGCCGAAACCGAATATGGAAAAAAGGGGGTCATGGAAAGACAAGACATGAAAATGCAAGGCCGGTAGAACAGCAAACAGACTTCTCCGCCCTTCTTTATCCGTACAGACCCATCGCGAGAATCAAAGTAAGCGCCAAGACGAGTATGTGTCGAGTTATATATGAATTGTCCGTCATATATTCATGTTCGTTTAAAGGACAACGCTGGATATGGTCAATATATATGTTCTCGCAATAGTCAGGAGGTGCGGGAAACTCACCTCCACGGGTGATTCTCATCACCATACTGGATTCCTTCGATCCAGTTCTTCATCTGAAGGGCGATTTCGCCAGCCTCTTCCTCATCCTTGAGGCCGCAGTTCACCAGTTTGCCGCGGTAGCTAATGTTTCGCACAGGGCTCACAATAGCTGCGGTACCAGACCCGAACACCTCCAATAATCTGCCCTCTTCGGCCGCTTCGGCGACATCGGCCATCTTGATCTTACGCTCAGAGACCGTCCAGCCCTTGGGGATCAATCGCTCTCTGGCCAATTCAAGCACGGAGTCCCTCGTGACGCCCTCGAGGATGGTTCCATCCAGAGGCGCAGTCACCAGCTCCTTCTTGCCCGTCTCCTTGTCCTTGAGCGCGATGAAGAGGTTCATGGTGCCGACTTCAGTCACATACTCCTCCTCACCGAACAGCCACAAGTTCTGCTGGAAGCCCCGAGACGCGGCGTTGAGCTGGGGAAGAACACAAGGAGCGTAGTTCGCTCCGAGCTTCTTGTCTCCAACACCACCCGGCCAGGCTCTGACGGCGTAGTCAGTAGCCTCCAGCGAGATAGCCTTGAACCCGGTGGGATAGTAGGGGCCGACGGGGCTGGCAATGACGAAGAGAAGGGCGGAGCCTGGCGGCCCAACTCCGAGGGTGCTCTGGGTACCGATCATGGTAGGTCGGAGGTACAAGGAGTATCCGCGGGTGCTGCAGAATATTAGGGACCGTTTTCGCTGACGTTGCCTTGGTCTCAGCTCACCTGGGGATGAAACGGCTGTCTTGTTTCACAAAGTCGCCGATCAATTTGGTGAGCGCCTCGCCATCAACCGTGGGCAGGGCAATCCGCGCCGAAGACTTGTTCAGACGCGACATGTTCTTATCCGGGCGAAATAGCCGAATCTGTCCATTGTTGTCCTTGTATGCCTTCATACCCTCGAAACACTCGAACGCATAATGCAACACGCAAGCCGAAGGATCCAGGCTGAGGTTCTGGTAGGGAACGATGCGCGGCGTGTGCCATCCGTCCGAAGCTGTCCACTCGATCGACAGCATATGGTCTGAAGGAATCTGTGCGTCAGTAACCGTCAAACCTGGGGCCATTGTCGCAAGGGGTCCTTACCGGTGAAGGTCTTGCCAAAGATGAGGTTCTCCGACGCAGTAATCTCCTTAGGGGTGCTCGTCTTCGTGATCTCGAGCTTCGACGGGTCGAGACCAGCTTGAGAAGCAGCAGCCGGCGTCACACTGAAGCATCTCTGCCATAGCCGGTTTGAGACAGAGGTCTGGACGGGGAGAACACGGGGGGCGGCGCGGGAAGGCAGCGCCCTGTGGCGAGCCAATTGACGGAGTGAGTTCATGATCGCGGTCCAATGTTTAGATTTCCAACAGCGAGGGGAGCGAAGGATGTTGGTCGATCAAGTCCCAAGCGGTGGAGTGATATTAATAATGGGAAAACAGTCAGGGAAGCAATAATAATGAACGAGCGGGCAGCGGAGCTTAAAAAGAGTGCGCCGGAGCGGTTAGTTAAGGTAACTGACTGACCGGTCGGAGTGACTCAGGCACAACTCCGGACAGATCCAGTTGATCGACAACCGTAGGGCGCGAGATGGACCACTGGACTATGGATCAAAAATAAACTGTTGAATTGGCCTAAATACACAAATACCACAACTGTTTGTTCCGAATCTGAAATTAATAGCCCCTTCCTTCCAAAAAGCATCCAAAACAAGGTATTCCAACTTTCCATTGCAGACCGATCCATGTCCGACATCGGACACGATCTGGTTCACGGCACACTTTAGCCGGCGCTTCGATGCCGCAGGCGGTGTGTCACCTGACGTGGGGCTTCCGAACGTGGCCGTTTGTATGGGGAGCTCACGCTGCTCTCCCATTGGCCAGCGTCACCCCTTTCACGTGATGCCCTTTGTCCACCGGGCGGACAGCGGGCAGATATGCATGGGGGCCAAGCTGGGTGATGAACCTCGAGTTCCAAGGTCAAAAAAAAAAAGACAAGCACCTGAAGCAGACTCCAGTGTTAAACGTACAGCTGTAAGATTGGGATTGACATGAGAACATTTTTACATACGGCCGATTGATCCCCCCCTTTACAGATACCATCGTCTGTACATTATTTACTTTGTTTCTTCGGACTTGTCCACATCTCCAACAAGCCACATTGAGAAATCAGGCTGCAGCGTCCGGAGTACTACAGTTACCATACCTAACTGATTGCTCGGCGACAACGTCGGTTCAACTCTACAGCTGCGCTGTTGGCATTGGTTACTTGAGTCTCATGCCAGGGCGGTCAGAGAAAAGACAATGTTTTCCTCGCTCAAGTCCCTGAGTTCGAACATATCAACGAACTATCAAATTGCCCCACACCCGACTGTGATCTCTGGCCCATGGCGTATCCATGATGGGAAGAAGAAATCCACGGGGACTGCGGCGTCCATCTTCATCTTTGACAGAAAGCTTCTCGACCCTCGATCCGGTGGCCTTGGTGGCCGTTCCAGCTCGTCCACGAAAAAGGTCCAGGAGGATGTCGTCGAACGACTGAAGCGGGAAGCTAGCAATCTCGCCCGTCTTCGACATCCGTCTATTCTCCAGGTTCTGGAGCCAATCGAAGAAACGCGCAATGGCGGTCTTATGTTCGCTACAGAGCAACTCACCACTTCGTTGGCTGGGCTTCTGAAGGAGAAAGATGCCCAGGAAGGCTCGTCGAGACATGGTGCGCGGTCCAGTCGCTTTACGGTGGAGGAGACGGATGGAGGCCGTGGCCGAAGGGATCTCGACATCGATGAGCTAGAGATCCAAAAAGGGCTGTTGCAGGTTGCCAAAGGTCTCGAATTCCTCCACGGATCGGCCGGTCTCGTCCATGGCAACTTGAACCCGGAAGCCATCTATATCAATTCCAAATCGGATTGGAAAATCTCCGGCCTTGGCTTTGCTGGGCCTTCCGATCCCAACGAGACGCGAACCTCGCTACCGCCGCTGGCTCTGTCAGAAGTGCTTCACCAGGATCCACGACTTCCTCCTTCTGTTCAACTGAATCTGGACTTCACTTCCCCGGACTTTGCACTGGACTCTAACGTCTCCCCATCTGCGGACTTGTTCTCTCTTGGGCTTGTCATCGTGGCCTTGTATAATTCGCCTCACTCTTCTCCGTTGCAGACACATTCCAGCGTCAACTCTTACAAGAAATTGCTCAGCTCGCCGTCCACGACGCCTTCCCAGGGAAATAACTTTCTCTGTTCCGGCTCCATCCCGAACGACCTCCTTACCCATGTGTTACCCAGGCTGATCACGAGGCGGCCGGCCCAGCGGTTAGACGCCCGCGAATTCCAGCAATCTCCATATTTCGATAATATACTGGTCTCCACACTGCGTTTCTTGGAATCACTACCGGCCAAAACTCCGAGTGAAAAGTCTCAGTTCATGCGGGGCCTCCAGCGGGTGCTCCCAGAGTTTCCCGTATCTGTACTGGACAGAAAACTACTCGGTGTACTCCTAGAAGAGATGAAAGACAGGGAGCTCCTGTCACTCATCCTGCAAAACGTCTTTGCCATCTTGCAGCGCATCCCGAATGCCCGCCGCACATTCCCCGAGAGGGTAATTCCCCGACTCAAAGAAGTTTTCCCAACGGGCAAAGGGGCGGTCCAGGATCGTGACTCTAAGCGAGAAGCGGGTCTCATGGTTGTCCTCGAGAATATGAATATTGTGGCGGAAAATTGCTCGGGCAAAGAATTCAAAGATGGTTTGTTTGTCCTAGAGGATCGACAAACAGTGTGAGCTAACTCTGCGATTTCTAGATATTCTTCCTTTGATTCGACTGGCCATGGACTCTCCTACTCATTCTCTAGCTGATGCTGCCATCAAGTGCTTACCCATCTTTCTACCCACTCTCGACTTCAGTACCGTGAAGACCGAAGTATTTCCTCCAATTGCCGCGACTTTTAGCAAGACAAACAGCCTGGGCATCAAAGTCAGCTGTTTAGAGGCATTTACTGTTCTCTGCGGGGGCTCTAAGGACGGTGAGGACGTGGCTGAAGATGACTTGACCGGTATTGTTCCAAAAGGCAAACCGCAGCCAACTAGATCATCCATCTTGGACAAATATACGATCCAAGAGAAGCTTGTTCCGTCCTTGAAGGCCATTAAGACGAAAGAGCCCGCTGTTATGATGGCTGCCTTGGGCGTGTTCCAACAGGTTGGCAAGGTTGCCGACACGGATTTCATCGCCTTGGAAGTTCTTCCAGTCATTTGGAGTTTTAGCCTTGGCCCGCTTCTTAATCTCCGCCAGTTTGAACAATTCATGGCCTTGATCAAGAACCTCTCTTCCAAGATCGAACGCGAGCATACCAAAAAATTGAAGGAACTGTCTTCAGGGGGAGATTCTGGTGGATTCCAAAATGGCACCGGCAACTCTACTAAGGTCCCCGATGCCTTCATGGCGACGGATACAGATCCGACAAGGAACAACTTTGAGCGCCTGGTCCTCGGCCGCGGATCCACAGCTTCAAAGGGCCAGGATCCCGACAACTGGGGTAGCCTAATGGCTGAAGCACCAGCCGTCCAGCCTTCAACCTCGCGGCCTTCATCCACGGCATTATCATGGTCGTCCCAACCCGCTCGTCCCAATGCTGTGGGAAGCGCATTGTCCAGCCAACCGAACCCAAGCATGCGTTCCATCACTCCGGACTTCAATATGGGTTCTTTCCCATCCCTGCAGCCCGCTGCGGCGCAGAAATCCCCGGCGACATCGGCTTTTCCGCCATTGCAACCCTCCCCGTCTCCCAGCTGGAGTTCTATGAATTCTCCCAACAACCAATACACATCCCCAGCGAGTAACCTGCCTAGCCCAGGTTTGGGATCGATGGCCAGCATGAAGCCGTCCAACTCTTCTTATGCCGGAAACCTTTCGCGGCCGACTACCAATCTCTCTGCATTTTCTATTCCACCGCCTCCATCTACTCAGGGCTCGATGGGGTCATTCTCTGGAAGTAGCGGCCTCTCCAATGCTCCAATGGTCCCACCACCGCCCCCATCTACCCAGGGCTCGATGGGATCATTCGCAGGGAGTAGCGGTCTCTCCAATGCTCCAATGGTCTCACCCGGCAGGACCAACCCTTCCAGTTCGTTTCAAGGCAACAATAATAACTCGTCACAACCGCAAGGCGGTGCGAAAAAAGGCCTCGACAAATATGAGAGCCTAATATGAGCGACGTGGAGTGCACCTCCACTATCATGCCCCTTGCTCTGCTTTCTTCTTACAATTAATCTTCTTTGTGTTTTCCTCGTTCGCATTCAGCCAACATTTCTTGGGTCATCTCTATCTACCATGTGGATTTTGTTTTATTTTATGTGGACATTCAAGCATTATTCCCTGATAGTTTTGAGCCAGGAACAACAAAAAGCTGGCAAAATCCCCCTGATCTTGGTCAATGTGACAATGAGAATCATCTATTATAATTTGAGCCGAATATGTGTAGAATAGTACAAAGGATGCTGGATATACTCCGATAACTAAAAGTCCCCACTGGGGTCACCGCCCTCGGCGTTCAGCCGGATATTTGCGGCAGTATTACACCATTGGGTACCGTCCAGGCAAGGAGCTCCCTGTATGTCATAGAGCAACGGAGCTGCCAGTTAGCTGAGGTTACTTCCCCCAAGCACCCCCCCCCCCCAGGAATGCTGCCCTTACGAGGCGCTTTGAAACGCCTGCCGTCGGAACATCGTTCCTTTTCCCTCCGCCGCCCCTCTCTACCCCTCCATTACCAGCACGCCTTTTCTCGACGTCACTTTGAGCGATTCTCTTCGTCCACCGTACCGAACATCAACAATTCCTCCAAGCTTTCTGCAGATTCGCATCTTTCAACTCCCGCTAAATTCACGATGGATGCCAATACGAAACAGCACTATCTCGCCGATTCACCCCCCACGGTTGTGCGTCTGGAGGCGAAGCATCACTTTGATGGGTTGAAGGATGAGAAGTTGAGGAAATATGCCCACTACTTGAGCAGGTTCGATGATTCCCCATGCTGGCGCTAGTTTGTCTGCTTTTTTGTCGGGGCTGGGTGCAGAGGGCTAACTGATGGGCTCATTGGGCTATTATAGGGCTGCTTTTGAAGGCACGCGTATCACCCTTCGCCAGGTTTCCCCCGAGTCGGAGCCGATCTACGACTTCATTATCTCTCTCCACAAATCCTGCAATGGCGATTGGAGTGCTTTGGCCAAGAAAACCAACGTCAGCGATGAGCACGTTCGGTTCTTCTTGGAATATGCTACCCAGTTTCTCGGCAACTGTGGGAATTACAAGGGCTTCGGCGACACCAAGTTTATCCCTCGACTACCGGTGGAAGCCCTCGAAGCTCTGGCATCAGGAACACCGGAGACGAAGGCCGCGTTCCAGAAGGCGAACAGCGCGGGCGGCGGGTTTTTCGAGACTTCCCAGCAGGCCCTTATGCACCTTGGTTACCCGGAAGATGGCCATATGACTACATACTACCCCGACTCTCCGTCGATCACCAAGGACGACATCACGGCTATCGGCGACCTCATGGAAAAGAAGGGCCTTCCCCTCGAAAACACTAGGCTGAGGAAGAATGCCTCCGGGGACTTTGAACTGTTGATTGCTTCGGGTATCTCCGCGCCCCCGGCTCGGGAACGGGACCTTGGCGCTGTCGATACGCTGGAGCTGGAGGGTCATTTGAAAGGAAAAAAGGTCCGCTTAGTGTTCGGTGACCACCAGGAGGAAATGGCCAAGGTTGCGCACAACATCAAGCTGGCCGAGATCAATGCGGCGAATGACAATCAGAAGCGGATGCTGGAGGCCTACGCCAAGTCGTTCGGCGCTGGTTCTATCGAGGCGTTCAAGGAGAGTCAGCGGGTCTGGGTCAAGGATCAAAAGCCGGTGTTGGAATCTAACATTGGATTTGTCGAGACCTACCGGGATCCTCACGGAGTCCGTGGAGAGTGGGAGGGCTTTGTCGCTTTGGTAAGTGGTACTGATGCACATGCCGTGGCCAATTCACTAACCTTCTGCAGGTGAATCTGGAGCGGACTCGGGCCTTTGGGAAGCTGGTGGACAATGCCGAGAGCATGATTCCCAAGCTCCCCTGGGGAAATGATTTCGAGAAGGACAAGTTTCTCAGCCCTGATTTTACCTCTCTTGAAGTCCTGAGCTTCCAGTCATCCGGCATCCCCGCTGGTATTAACCTGCCGAACTATGATGATATCCGCCAGAATCTCGGCTTCAAGAATGTCTCCCTTGGAAACGTGCTGAGTGCCAAGGCCCCCAACGAACCCATTCCCTTCATCGCTGAGAAAGATCTGGAAGTGTATCGTCGGTGCCGCGATCCCGCTTTTGAGGTGCAGGTGGGTATCCACGAACTTCTGGGACATGGAACAGGCAAGCTTCTCCAGGAGACCGCCCCGGGTGAATATAACTTCGATGTGCAAAATCCCCCCGTGAGCCCCGTCACGGGCAAACCCGTGATTAGCTGGTACAAGCCGGGTCAAACATGGAGCTCTGTGTTTGGTTCGATTGCCTCATCCTACGAAGAATGCCGCGCTGAGTGTGTGGCCATGGCTCTCAGCTGCGACTTTGAGATCCTCAAAATCTTCGGATTCGGGGATGGGAAGCAGGACCTTTCAAATGAGGCAGGCGATGTTCTATATACGGGATACCTGCAGATGGCTCGCGCAGGCCTGGTCGCATTGGAGTTCTGGGACCCCAAGACCGGAAAGTGGGGACAAGCTCACATGCAGGCGCGGTACAGCATCTTGCGGACGTTCCTCGACGCTGGAGACGACTTTGTCAAGCTTGCTTACACCAAGGATGATCTCTCTGACCTCGAGATCCATCTCGATCGGTCCAAGATCCTCTCGCACGGCCGCCCCGCGGTGGAGAAATACCTGCAGAAGCTGCATGTCTATAAGAGCACCGCGGATGTCGAGGCCGGGAAGCAGCTCTACGACGATATCACCTCGGTCGACGACTGGTGGGGAACCAAGGTCCGGGAGATCGTTCTCAAGAACAAAATCCCTCGCAAGGTGTTTGTCCAGGCCAACACTGTCCTTAACGGGGATGAGGTGACTCTGAAGGAGTATGAGCCGACGCTTGAGGGCTTGATCCAGAGCTATGTTGAACGCGCTGTTTAAGCATTAGATAGGTTTAGATCCGAGTATGTAAATGTTGCATGTAGAGAAAGAAACAATAAGAAAGTTGAGCTTCTCTCGTGATCTCGGGCCACCTAGATGCATCACTTGCGGTCATTAGGATGGGGCCGCGTGACCCCAGGAGTGGCGAGGGGAAATGTCAACGCAGACCTCAGCTATTCAGGGACGATACGCAGATGATCCCCTGATATGCCGTAATTCTACCGAATCGCTCGACAAGTACTCCGTAGTACTCAATCAGAGCATGCGACATGGCCCCTCGTGGTGTCTTCAAGGTAATTGTGTGCATTAGATATACAGATCTATAGTAACGCGGGATTATGACCTACTCCGTCTTCTAGATTTGTATTCAGAATATTATCAAGATAATCATATACGACCCCCGGTTAGACCTGGTGGACGGCGCCAACTGGAGAGTTCGCTGGTTTACGGGGAACGTTGCCGCCGCCTCCGCCTTTTCTCCTTAAGCGCTCGTTCTCTTTCCCGCCTCCTTCTCCTCCCTGGTCGCCCTGCGCTTTTGGTCACTTGCAACTTGTCACTTTTCTGACTATCACTGTCACGTTGGTTATTCGCTCCATTTTCTGTCGATACTACAGAGAAATAGTATTCTCCAAATATTGAAGTTTGCGGATTACTTGATCTTCGGATTCCATGTGCAATCTTTAGACATACTGTGGGCTCCTGATCGACAACGGGGAACGGGAGTCTGGATCCTCTCCGGTCAGCGGCACAAGTCTGGGTCGCCTGGGTTCGTCTCAACCTCATCTGTAGAGACAATTCACAGCACATCGGCTCTTTTTTCAAATCGAATTATCCCGAATTTCGACGACACCTTGTCGTGGCAATCAACTCCCCCTGGCTCGCCTACCACGGCGCGGCCGCCTCATCACCTAGCGGACCCTGTTGCGGAGGAAGACGACGACGACTTCTACGCCGCGCCGCCACCCCACTCGCCATCATACTCTGAGGCGTCCTCTTCTCACTACTATCCGCCCGGTCCTCCACCCTTCTCTTCACTGGACTTTGTCCCCGGACTCGAACCCGATCGCGCTAAACCTGCGGAAACCGAATCCTCGTCGGCTCCTATCCCCCCACCCTTTGTTTCTCCATCCCCCGAGGAGGAGCCCCTAGAACCGGATCCGTCGCCGTTGCCCTTGGTCGCAGAAACCAAGTCTGCGTTTACGCCGGAGCAGAAACCGGATTCGCAAGGGAAGTCTACGGAAGACGGAGAGCCACCACCGCCATACACCGAAGGATCTAGTCCCATTGAATCGTTTACATACGTGATGGCGGCAGCAGGAGGCGCATCGAGTATTATTACTCAGGTGCAGCAGGCCGGCGGGCCCCCTATCAATACGCTTGGTGGTACGAAACCCCGGATGGATGTGTAGTGTGTATCTTGACTAACTTGCTTGTCCTGTGGTATTAGATATCGGTGGGGATGAACATATCACGCTGGATCTCCGGTGAGTACATGCTTGGCTCGTCTTTGAATCATACGGGTTGTTCTGACTGTCTCAGGGGTACCCGGTTTACGCTCTCTCGAGATGAACTGTTGACCTTGCCGGAATTTGTCCTTCTGTCCCTTTTCCCTAACGGTTTACTCCCGGATGGACATATGGGCACTTTCCATGAAGGTGATATCTATCCAGTCGATGTGAGAATACTATGACTCCGACTCTATGTGTTTGTACAGTCCTGACGTTTCTCTCCAGTACGACCCGGCGTCACTCCAATACATGCTGGATTTCTTCCGCTCGGTCGCCCAGTCTATCCCCTCCTCGCCATCTGCGTCAGCATCGCCCGACATGGAAATGTCCGATTCCATGCAAGGTTCGGCTAGAGATATGCTCCAGGATCGTGCCGGTATTATTGTGTTACGCGAGGACCTCGATTTCTATGCGATTCCGCCGCGTCACGATATCGACCATACGGAGATGATGGAGGTAAAGCGCGCGGCTGCCAAAGCATTGCTGCAACAGGACGGGATCTTTTCCGGTCTGAGGAAAAGCGAGGAGGCCGGTTCGACCGAACAGCATCTGATTGAGATGCTGACTGCAGGGTCAGTCCCGCACCTTCGATCACTTGGCTGATTCACCTTTTGCAGGGAACCCATGCTGACTATTTGCAGCGGATTCGATCGCGATGACCGGTGGGGCCATCGGGCGCCCGAGCCTAGCAAGGCCGTCATCTGTAGTCTGGCACTGGCCAAACTTCGAACCGATATCAAAGGCGACTTGTCCAATAACAATTCGGTCGGCATGGCTCAAAAGCTCCTTCTTTTCTGGCGAAAGCCCGCCAGGCGGTGCTGGTGGGAGGGGATCGAATTGGACAACGTAGATGGGGTCGAAGGCCCGGTTAAGATTTGGATCCGCAGAGTATGGACTCTGGAGATGGTAAGTCTTGATTCCCATCTTTAGCATATCTTGCTCTAACATTCTTGTCTCATCGCAGAGCGTTATTGGACTCCGATAGCCTTATGCGGGCTTTGTTTGTTTTTTAATCTGGACAGTTTTTCTCGTTCGTTCATTGCTACACTGCATTTTACTTGATTCTGGTTGCATACTTGATACATACCATCACTGCGGCTTTTCTTTATTTTTTTTTTACTTCTTCCTTGCCCCCTCGATCTTTTCTTGCGAGTCAACGATATCCGTATTGACAATTGGGTGTTATGTGCTTGATTCTGTCTATAATCCCATTAGCTGGCCGGTCCCCACGCATTGATCTTGTACTTTTTTGATTTTATTATCTTCATTGCTCTCTCCTTTACATTTGTACTCTTCTTTTATTAGTTTCGAGAAAATATGAAAGCCAACAATGGACAACTGTAGCCAATATACCGTATCTGAGGGATTCTCAATCACGTGGTTTTTATAGCCGAAACAGGACTAGCGTGCATGTTTGAATCTTGAGAACGCGACGAAACAGAAAAAGGCGGACGGAGCTTGAGCGCGATCACCATCATAGAATAGAAGCTTTGGCACTATTCCTCCCACCCCAACCCAGACACGGCCCACCTCTGTTTCAACTTTGTGATCGCATCAGAATTCTCGCAAAGGCACTCTTACTGCGACTCTAGAACCAATCCTTTTCCGCTTGAATTCACGGTTTCGAAGTCACCTCTTCTGCCCTACATCCATCCTTTCGTCGCCGAGGATCTATCCTACTGGGTCGCCAGTCAACGCTCCCCGCCTAGGTCCTGAAAGGGACATGTTAATTAATGTTCACCTGAACTGCCAACATGTCCCCTCTTCGAGGCTATATCACATCCTACCCGCCACGAGTGCGCCAGTATAGTAACGCGCTTCTCACGCCCGTCTTTCCTACCAACCAAACCGGCCCCACGCCGCGAACCACGAAACGAGGGACCACCGCGATCAACTACGCCGAAGATGGCTTCGATGACGAGGACTTCGATGACAGCGAGGGTCCGCGCCGACCAACGGGGTTAAGGAGTCTGCGACGGGAGGAGTCCACGTTCGAGAAGGCCCCTTTAACAGAGAAGCTGGGGAAAGAGATCCACGCCCCTGTTGAAGTCCAAGGGGTGTTTCGCGACTGGATGATCAAAAGGATGTTGCGGCCTACGTACGTCCCCCGGTGATTGCTATCCCGTCTTTCCCTCCCCTCAAATCTATGCTCACTCTGACCCTCTTTTGCGCTCTGCAGATGTGCCGACCAGTTACAAATCCAAGCGCAATTGCCTCTGACCCTGATACCCATCCGGATTGACTTGGAAGTACCGGCGCATCAGCCCATCGAGCCGTTTCCCCTTCCGCGGTCGATCATGGATCCTGCGATCAACTCCACCCTGCCTGCGTACAGGCGACCGGACCCCCTACCCGCCTACCGCATCAAGGACACCTTCCTGTGGAATCTGCACGAAGCGCTCGCCACGCCCGAAGAATTCGCCATTGGGTTCGTTCGCGATATGGACCTGCCAAACCCGCAGGTCATGACCATGGCAATCAGCAACCAGATTCGCCAGCAATTAGAGGAGTTCGCTGGGGTGGCGCTGCATCCGCTTTTCCAAAGCACCCAGCCGAAGCCTACCAGCGCCTCGCAGGCTGGCATCTCGCGGGACGTGTCCGTGTCCGCGACGCCGATTCCCGCTCGGCCTGTTACTCCTGATAACAGAGCTAAGCCCTTAACGGGAACGAAGGAGCCGTTGGTAAACGACAGTATCTTAAACCCGGACGATGCATACAGATGTATGATCCACCTCAATATCAACCTGCAGAATAAGCTGTACACGGATAAGTTCGAGTGGTCTCTCCTGCATCCGCCGGGTATGCCCGAGGAGTTCGCCAAGATTACATGCGCTGATCTGGGTCTCGGCGGAGAATGGGTCGGGGCGATCGCGCACGGGATCTACGAGGCCGTCCTGAAACTGAAGAAGGAGGTCTGCGAGAGCGGCGGCCTCATCAGCGGAATCGGCGGCTACGGCAACGAAATCGACAACCAGGCCGCTAACGGCGCGGACGCCGGGTGGCGGTACGATCCCGAGGGGCTCGGCGACGAGTGGGAGCCCAAGGTGGAACACCTGTCTAAGGAGGAGATCGAGAAGCGAGAGGGTGATCGCGAGCGCCAGATCAGACGCCTCCGGCGAGAAACCGCCCGGTTCTCATCCACGGCCGGCATTACCCCGGATATCTCGCGGCAAGGGAGCGGCTACTTCGACATGGACAGTGAGACGCCACTCGGTAGAGGCGAGCGCAGCAGACGGAAGCGGCGGTTCCGCAGCTTGAGTCCGTCTGGCAGGGGTGGTACGCCCGGTGGACGAGGAACCCCAGATACTGGGTCAGGGGCCGGCTATGGCGGTGGTGGTGGTACATTGACAGACTGGTGCGTCATGGTCCCTACTCAGCTGCTCGGGTGGACAAAGAAATTTGGGTTTGGCTAATCTCGTATTGCAGGGAACGGCAAAATTGGAGGTGCAGTAACTGCTTGGTATGGGGCACTGCCGTTTGGGCTGTTCGAGATGGCCCTGCTGGTCCACGGGTAAGACACGCCCCCTTCCCCATCTTTCCTATATGGTTGCTCGGAACTGACGCGTGTGTGTAGTCGCTGTGCCACAACTGTGGACTTCTATACGAACGGGACAAGGTTGCTCCTGAGTGGTCGAGAGATCTACACCGTCATGATATGCCCATCGCCCGGTGATCGTCCGAGGGTTTCAATGAAAAGAGCCTACCGTTCCAGCGTTTCAAGCCTACCAAAGGGTAAGACGATCAATCGTTAATCAACCCATCGAGACGTGCCGGCTGACCACTAGTAGAAGTGTACCCTATTACCCAAAACAGGAAAAAGACCAGAAAAGAAAGACATAACATAACATACACCCTATGCAGCCCGATCCCAACTAGTATCTCTGAGAACACATGATAATCATGTTTCTCCGTGTATTTCTCTGAATTTGGCCCATGATATCATATCTTCTAATGAAATCCTTTGTGTGTTCGAGATTTGGCGTTCTGATCTGATCTGATCTTTTCTATTATTTATTTACTATGCATGTCTTCTTAGGTATCCATCCCTATCCTATTTATCTATCATATCTATTTGTTTGTGGCCACGGTTAGAGTTATGGTCGGTTGCCTTTATATTTTCATCTCGATTTAAGTTCAACTTTCTTTTTCTTCTCTTTTTTTTGAAAATCATTGTCGTCTGTTCACTGCTCTGAACAATTATGTCAAAGTATGTATACTGGTTGGGGGGATTGTTAGATGGATGGGTGGTTTTATCTTTTTTTTCCCTTTTCCTTTTCCTCTTTTCTGAAATGATTGTCTGCAATACCAATGGTGTATCTGATAGTATACCGGAATGGAAAGACCAATTACCATAATATCAATGTTTCCACTGTCATCGGTAGATAATATATACTTTCGCATGATGGTAATGGGGGCGAAGGTTGGAGCATTTCGCAAGAAGAACATCAAAGATATATGTATAATTATTGGTACATATCTTTTTGTTAGGCTGCTTCTCACAGCCTATCATAACGTAGTATATATAGGGGAGTCCGGGGGTGTCCAGCCACCTTAGCTAGACATAGCGGCCTTTTGGTCTAGTGGTATAGCGCGTACCCAGTACTAGACTGGAAAACCCACCGATGACTTCAGCGGGAAAAAACTGCCAGGTGTCGATAGCTGCGAGCTGGATGGTTCCGGCTCATCATGCGATATTGGTGGCTACAAAGTCACATTGACCGAGCAGGGGGGCACTGGCTGCAACAACGGTCCGGATATCAAATCAGGTCAGTCATCATCCCATGTTTACCAGTGATATCTGAGCCATCCATGCCAAAGAACCACTGCCAACACTTGTGACCTCTGAACAGCATCATTTGAGAATTCCTCTGGTGACAAAATCGAGAATGTCAATGGAGACAAACGTTGTACAGAGCTTAAGTATTGTTCTGTTGGATTTCTGGGTGGTTTGAAGAGAAATGGCTGGGTTTGTGACTTCTGATTATGAAGTCGTCAATGTTGCGGTGCATCGAGGGCCACACATACACCTACGTGGGAATACACTCGCGTGATACGAGGACAGGAGATGTAGTTCGAGCCACCGAAGTGGCTCTTTCTGGTCGCATATCGACCGTTACAGAGTTAAATGGAGTTAAATGTTCTTTACTTTCAAGTATAGACTTATAGTCATACCCAAAGACACCATAAAACCTTCATATAAATCGTACATTGAATCAACACAGTAACTAATTACGCATCATACACGCCATACATTCCCACTTTTCAAATCCTCTCTCCTTCAAAGAAGCATGAAGAAAAGACAGTCCGATCCCATCTACATCCTCTTCGTCCTAGACATATCACACGGCTCCTAGGTAGATGACACGAATATTAGCACTTCGCCCGTCAACATAATCAAAAAGATGAGAGAGAAAGTGGGAAATAACATACAGACAGCGCCCGTCTCTTCCTTTCCCCCATCACCTCCCCACTAGATGCCATCTCCTGCCTCCGTTTCCTAACAGGTCCACCAGCCTTCGCACCCAAACACATAACATTACCAACCCCCTTCACCTTCACCCCTACATCGATCTTGACGTCCACGGGTGGTGCTGGTGGTAGCGGTACCGGAGATGGCTGTCCTCTTCCACTGGAAGGGATGTATATCCTTCTTCGGTCTTGTAGAGCTGCGGAGATGATCTCTGTTGCTAGAGATGCTAGTTTTGGTTGTTGCTGGCGCTGGAGAGAGTGGAGGGTGTCTAGGGTGGGTGGTGTAGCTGATGATGATGATGATGATGATGATGATGACTTTGTCGTTGTAGGAGGAGTAGTAGACGGGGCCAAGCTGGGTCTGCAGGGTAGAATGATCGTGTTTCTGTCTCCGGATATATTGATCGATGCGTCGATGTGGAGGGTTACCCTGCTGCTGTTGGGGGTAGTTTTCCCGCAGAAACAGGTGTTACTGCTCTCCTCTTCGTTGTACTCGTCGAACTCATCGTCGTAGTCCTCCTCGTCAATGTCGATGTCGTCATTATAACCTACATCGATGGGGCCGTCCTCTTTCTCTCGTGGTGTGTATGGTGGCGGTGGCGGCCTCGTGTCTTGTCTGTTGACTGTGCGTGCTCTCCTCGTCCTTGCTGCTTCGGAGAGTTTGTGCATGTGGTGGAGGACGGCGTTTGATGGGGGATGCATTGTGGTTTCTGTTTAACTATTGTCGCCAGAGGGAATCACGGAAGTAGGATTAGGGCTGGGCTGAAAGACGAGGCCGTGTGTATATGTATATATGGATGTATGTGGTAGGGTTCGTAATGTAGACACCAGTCTAATATTGGGAGAGAAATAGAGACATAAGACCGTATATATATATAAAGGATAGCTTTTACTATGCCGTCTTCGCTCAGGGGTTCCCAAAATCATCAAAGTAGGAATCAAGCCGTCTATTAAAGTAAATATCGGTGTGTCTATTGAATAGAATCAATAGATAGTATTAACTAACCCAACCCGGTGGTCATCCACATCTATTGACGTACCCTCAACAATATCCCATTATACACTCTGGGACAAACTTCCTGTCTCAGCATTGACCGGGATGGAACGGGAGCGTACGAGTCCGATCCTTATTGACGGGGTCGCTCTTTGTATTGTTCTCGCTGCCCGTCAATAGGGATCACGTGCCCGGGCAAGAATGTCAATCTCGGGCAGATCCTGTTCCACGGGACTGCTCAATGGGTGACTCTTCCGATTGATCGGCTGGGTGGAATTGTGGTGAAACGTTGGATTTCACGGGCCTTTCTTTGTCCCTTGTCAGTCTTCTAAATTACAATGGATGACGGAGTACCCTCTCCCAGAAATAGAATCTGACTTGGGTATCCTACAGATCGGGTGGCTCAAACGTCTAATAAAATGCAGATCTGGTATTCTATCGCGCTTCTGTCTATTCAACCAAAGAAAAGGTAAGAAAATAGGGACAACAGCAGCGTTGAGTAGAAATGGCAAGGAAGAGAACATAAGCCAATTGGGTATAAGAACAATCATCTAATCTCGACGACCGCCGTAGTTTCATCTTGCGTGAAACGTCATCACCCCCGTCGGGGCTCACGGGCTGATGGGAGCATCTCTCCCTCCACCCTCTACCGGTGTACTCGAAGTAAACTTCGGTTGGACCACCGGGGCTGTGTAACTCAAATCTGGTCGGTGTAGTCACACGGTTAGGCTTTGGTCCGAAACTGAGGTAGTCGTGTCGGTTTCACCGATAGGACACAGGACAGGCGTTAGAGTTGGTCGGTCGAACTTACTCCTGCTATGGAAAGCACCGTTGTGGTTATTCTGAATCGACGGCCGAACCCCCCGCTACGGGTGTGGTTGTTGTTCGCCTTCCGGATAATATTTGCCGCCAGGATGTAGAGACTGTGAAGTCTTGGTACTGATTAGCACGGACTAAAGCCGGCATGGACAGACTTGAATATACCAGCGTTTGTGTCACGCCAGCCAAAACCCCAAAAATCACGAGCTAGTACTGACTTCGCGAAACTCATCTCCCTCCACTTGGACCTCCCGATCTCGAATGCGCCGCATCAGGGCCAGAAAATTGCTTTGTTGGAACTTCTGACTTTGATCATGGCTAACGCTGTCAAGTAGCTGCCCTGCTGTCCGGGCCAGTTCGTCGGCATCGCTGGGGCGTCCTTCCGTCTCGTTCTGGGCGGTCTGCGAAATAGTGTCCGATCCGATCCGAATTTGTTCCTGAGATAGACTTTCATTCTGCGCGTCCAACTGATGGGGTTCGCTGACAGCCTCGACGGTTTCCTGGGTGACATCGGTTGCCTGCGATGTCATGTCCGCCCTCGCCTGTTCAAATGCGGCTTCAAAAGCAGATTCATCAAACGTCTCAGCCGACGGCTGCTGCATCGCCGTGTCCTGTTGTGCCGCGCGCATTGCATTCATGGACGCTCCATTCATGGAATAACCGGGTGCGAATGAGGACTGAAATCCCGGCCTGTACGGCTGATGCTGCTGAAACGGAGTATGTTGGCGCTGTTGGTTCATGAATTCGGCCTGCCAGCCCTGTTGCGGGGTGGCTGATACCGAAGCGGCGGACGGCCCGGGTTGTTGATGCATTGGATGAGCAGGACCCGATATTTGTAGTCTTTGAAAATCCCCCGCCCACCCGGCGCTCTCCCCCTGACTGGGTATCCCATGGTGTGGTGCATGGGCGACGAAATGTGCAGGATGCTGTAAATCCGGAAGTGGCGCCCCCGCGATATTCGATTCGAACGCGGCGAATTCCGGATCAAGGGCGCCTTCATGCGCATTTTGTGATCTAAAGCCCTACAAGAAAAAGAACATCATCATATTAGCATGACGACGACGCGTATACAATCATTCAGACTCACCTGAGAGGGCGACTGCCGAGAGACTAGTCGATCCTGTTGAAGCGTCCGGTCCACGGAGGTATGCTTCTGGAAATTTTGCAAGGCATTTGATGGTCCACACAAGGCGTCACTCATGATGCCGGTAAAGAGCGAAAACTTCGAGGATATTCAAGACGTGCTGCTTAATTTGACGTAGTGATCGACGGATTGTGCAGTCTAGTGGCGGTACAGATCACACAGGTCGACAAACAGCTTATGTATGGAGGATGATAATCATATAAGGAGTCGACAAACGAGAACTGTATAAGCCGTCCAGAAAAAATGATGGAGATGACAAGAGGCAACGAGGTGTTTCAGCAAGAGAAAAAGGAGGAAGGCGAGGCAAATGCATCAGATGGCGTGGGGTAACTAAGCCGACCGAGGAATACCGAGGCCTCCTATCACGTGCTCCCCCTCGCCGGGGCTGCTGACTGATCCTCCCGATAAGATAAGATTGGACAACTGCGGCTCGTCTTCCAGCAAGAGAGAAACGGCCAACTTGGCGGTACAGCGTGTTTTGTTGTCTCGACCTGTTTGTTTGGATAGATCGCCGTCCAGCCACTCCACCAGCTTTCGCCTCGATTAGTCTGCTCTCTCTTCGATTCACTCGAGGAATTGATTTGTTTCTTTGTCTTTCGCAGCGGTAGATTGTCCAAAATGGTACCATTCTCCCGAATTGCAGTGCTCTCTCCTTTCAATCGCAACCGAATCCAAGCTCGCTGACCGTCCACGCTGGGCTCCCAGGCTGCCGCTCAAGTTATCTCGAACTCCGGACATGATGATATGATCGTATGTGACCTTGTGGACTCTCCGCGGAACCGTATTGCGTGGAATCTTGAGATCTGACTACTCCCCGGTCGCACACAGCACGATGCCGGACTCGACTACTATGGCCGCAGGCTGGCTACATGCTCCTCGGATAAGACGATAAAGATTTTCGAAATCGAAGGCGAATCGCATCGCCTGATTGAAACTTTGAAGGGGTAGGTGCTTCTCTTGCGCTGGTGCGACCAGCTTGTCGACCACTAGCTAATGGAGGTGGATTGGACAATTAGCCATGAAGGTGCAGTATGGTGCGTTGCCTGGGTATGTATCAACCTCTCCACCCCACCCCCCAAATCAATATGATATGTCTATAAATGGCACGGCGCAAACAACCGCTAATATCATGTTTTCTACGAATCTAGGCCCACCCCAAGTTCGGAACCATCCTGGCTTCTTCGTCCTACGATGGAAAGGTGCTCATCTGGCGCGAGCAACACCAGAGCACGACGTCCCCCGTCGGCGGCGGTGCCTGGACCAAGGTGTTCGATTTCTCCCTGCACACTGCCTCCGTGAACATGGTCTCCTGGGCCCCGCACGAGAGCGGCTGTGTTCTTGCCTGCGCGTCATCGGACGGCCAGGTCAGCGTCCTTGAATTCCGCGACAACAGCTGGACTCACCAGATCTTCCACGCTCACGGAATGGGCGTGAACTCCATCAGCTGGGCTCCGGCCGAAGCACCCGGTAGCCTGATCAGCTCCAGCCCCAGCCCCGGCCAGCAGCGGAGATTCGTCACCGGTGGAAGCGACAACCTGCTGAAGATTTGGGATTACAAGTATGCTTGGTGTTTCGCTGTCGAATATCTGATCAAATGCGCTAACAGATGATGACAGCCCCGAATCCAAGACCTACAACCCCGTTCAGACGCTGGAGGGTCACTCCGACTGGGTGCGCGACGTTGCCTGGTCGCCTAGCATCCTGTCCAAGTCTTACATCGCCTCTGCCTCGCAAGATAAGACCGTCCGCATCTGGACCTCGGATGCGTCCAACCCCGGCCAATGGACTAGCCAACAGCTCGAGTTCGACAGCGTTTTGTGGCGGGTGAGCTGGAGCCCCAGCGGGAACATCCTTGCTGTGAGCGGGGGCGATAACAAGGTTAGCTTGTGGAAGGAGAACCTCAAGGGACAGTGGGAGAAGGTGAAAGATATCGAGGAGTAATTCTGGTCGGGCTGTTCAATTTCCTGCTTTGTTCTCATATTTATCTCGATATCTCATCATAATGAACCCAAATGGACCTATGTAGATCTATGGACCATCCTGACCATCCTGACCATCCCGTGATCTGCCAGGACTAAAGGTCATCAAAAGGGAATGGGAAAAATGATTGTTCACGGAAAGTCTTAGTAGCCCAAAAGATAAACGGCCCCCTGGCCCGAGTATCAACCATATCCACCCACTGTCCTACCATGATCTGACCTCCCGGAAGCACAAGCCCTTCATACCCATGGATCCAAAGAAAGTCGGTTTCTAGGTCAAACGGCGGCCATGGCTCTCGCGGGAACAAGCGGCTCTTGTTGACGAACACTTCCATGTAATCCTCCCCCTGGGGATCTATCTGTCCGGTGTGTGTTTCGTACAGCGCAAAGCAGACCCGGCGCCAACCAGGAAAGCCACCCTGTGGAGACTTGACTGCCTCGACAAAACCACGAACCAGATTAACGGACTCGTCCACAGAGCTGCTTTGATATCCCCGGAAGTATGAGCGGGTTGAGTCTTCTCCTAGCAGCGGAATGACATTCTGGAATATCCGTGGCCAGTTCATGGAGTCTGGGTCTGGTTTGACGCGGAGAATCTTAGGAGGGCAGAGTTAACTTCCGGTTCGTGTCCAGGAATGCTTGCTTGCGATGTTGTCAACGCGCACGTACCATGGGGTCAGGCAATAAGTGGGATCCGTTCCCTGCACAAGTCTGTTCCGCCTCGAGGATGCTTATTGATCTTGGGTATGGATGGATGCATGCTGTATATGTATCACACTCGACCACAGCGAGGTTAGCATTCAGTCTAGGGATTCGTGTATGTACAAGCCACTGACAGTAATAACCTATCCATGTTGTGGGAAGCTCGCCATCCCGGCCGAAACACCCACCTACCCTTGGTCTCCTAGGCTCTGGAAACATCCGATAGGAGTCGCTATACGTAGCTTCATCGGTGTTTAGAAGATGCCGCAGCCAGAAATTGCGGATGTGCAGCAGTTTAACGAAATCTATCTCCTTCGAGTCAACCAGTGTGCGCGGCGTATCGACATCATACGAGTAAACAGCTCCAATATCATAGTCGGTCCGGAGACAACGGCAAAACATGGACTGATCCAGAGCCATTCCAGTGAGGCACTGTACACCACTGTTAATCGTCTACCGTGCAGCTTATTATCTCTGTGACTTACCAACTGCACAGCGCATAACAACTCAGAAGGGGGGCCTGGCTTATGTTGGCTGTAACCATTCAATGGCCTATCCAGAAATTCTGTGGTTGAGTGTGCGCTCCGAATCCGCTTGATATTCTTTGAAGTTGACGGGTTCTTGGATTCAAAAGATTCCAAAAGCATATCCCTCAGCACCTCCAGCCACAGAGTCTGCTCTTCACCCTCCCCGCATTTAAAGCTGATCTTCTGAGCCAGAACGATAGACCGCGTCTGATACTCGATCTTGAGCTCGGTGGAGCTTCGCTGCCGAGGTATGTCGTACGTGTCTTTGAATAGTCTCCGCCATATGAGTGACTCTGCTGGCATGATGGCATTGTGCAAAAAGGAGCAACTCAGGGATAGGTTGACTATATCTGCGTTTTTTGGGAGTAAGTAAGCGATGCCTTGGGTGAGCTGGAATTGGATCGTCGAGTTAGCTTCTTTGTAACGGCATGGATTATCGGGAGACTGTCACCTCTGGGGGCAAGCAAAAAAGCGAGGTTCCCGTGCTGATCAATGAGCTCTTTTTGGACATTGTCAATCCTGACGCTCATGTCAAACCCGTTATAGATGGGATTCTGTGTGTCCGTATATTGATCAGGTGAAGTAAGGCGAGTTGGTGTTGTCAGATTGGTTGGCAGTATAATCGGTATACTGGCACTGAGAATGTCCTAGAGTGATATGATTTCGAGACCAAGCCGAGGACAATGCTAGGTATTCCGTGCTGAGAGATAGCTGGCAAGAGAGGGAGAGCAGCCTGTGAATTAGCTCCGCATACGCAGGGTCGCGAGCTGTTTTGTTCTAGATTGTTTCTGCTGCCAGTGAGAAAATGGATGTACCGTGATCGAGAGTAAACGTTTATAGGTTAACGATCCTGCAATTGATACTAGGCGCAGTAAGAGACGCTGTGCTAAACAAAAACCTTGTACTTGGATATCTAAGAAACATCACCAACTACATGGAAGGACAAGCGAAGTAGCCAGCCGATTATGTTAGTGGAAGGATAACGAGGGTCTACTGGTAGTTCTCAGATGACCATCTAGGGTATGACGATTTCTAACATATCTAGATAGTTGAACTGTCAATTACAAGAGACTCGTCGGTCAATTTCGACAGAGAGATATGGATCCTATAAACCCATATCATCGTCATCACGGACCCTAGTCAAGCTTTCTCGAACACCCCAACCATCTGCCAGGAGTCCCTTGACCTCTTCTAAACCGAGCCCACTCATTTCGGGATATATCGCCCACACACCCACCCAACCAATAGTGCAAACAACTGCATAAGCAGCAAATGTCCACCCTGGAGACAGCCATTCCATCATAGGTAAGAAGCTAAGTCCAACTATGAAGTTCGAGCCCCAGTTTGTTGCCGTCGCTAAGGAAGACCCCAGAGATCGCACATTGAGGGGGAACAGCTCTGATTGCTGCCATGGGACATTCCCAAGCCCAAATGCATAGGACGCCGTGTAAACGGTAAGACACAGGAGAATTGTAACCGGGAGTAACGGTGAGTCTGGGAGAGCACCGTCAGACTTCTCTTGTGGCTGCGGGTCGGGCGACAAGGCTGGCAGTTCCATGGATGAAAAGGCTAGCGCGCAAACGATAAGAGCAATGACCATGACGGGTATTGAGTATAGAAGGATACGCCGACGACCAATCTTGTCGATATAAACAAATGCTAGCAATGTGAAAAGGAAGTTCGCCACAGCGACTGATAGGGAGGTGAGAGTCGGCGAGGAAAACGAAAGAATGGAGAAGATCGTGGCTGAAAAATACATCAGACTGTTAAAGCCGGACAGTTGCTGCAAGCCCTGGAGCATCACAGCTATGGTCAATGCGCGTCGATTCCCACCAGTGTAGAGCAAATCTCTTGCCCGCTGTAGGGCAACATGCCACCACCCAGAATCTCTATCGTTCCCGATCAATGCATCTTCTTTCGCGACCTCCTGTTGAATATCGCGCAGGACCAGCCTCGCGACACGGTCACTGTCAGAATTGCGACCTCCGTAAACCTTCGCGAGCACATAGGTTGCCCTAGACTCGAGACCTGCTTGTACAAGCCACCGGGGTGTCTCGGGCAGAGCGACAACAATCGAAAACTGCAGAACAGCCGGGAGGATCCCGAGGCCGACAATCCAGCGCCAGCCTCCACCGACGGAGGAAAATAGCCATCCGACGATATATGCTATAACTTGACCACCCGTGATGAACAAGCATAGAATGGTGACGAGCCTGCCTCTGACATGGGATGGTGCTAGCTCTGATATATACCTGGAAAAAGTTAGGTATGCTTTCTGCTTTTTCTGCTTCCATGCACCAGCCCACTGCTCCTCCAGCTAGCTGGCACGGTTCCAGGCACAGTGAACCTACAGTGGAGTAACCAAGCTTGCGCCGCCTACTGCCAAACCAACGATGCTCCTTCCAAGAGTCATCCCCCATACCTCACTTGTAACAGCTTGTATTAACGAGCCGACAGTGAAGAGCACGTCTGCAACAAGAATGACCGATCGACGGCCTAGTTTATCAGCCATAACCCCAGCCAGCGGACTCGCAATGAGCGCGAACAAGCTGGTACAGGACGTAATCAAACTCTTATCCAGCGTCGTAAGCGCGCGATTCGAAAGGTCCGACTGAATCGATACGAGGGTCGAGGATATAACACCTGTACTTTGATGGTTTGGTGATCAGCTAGGGTATCGGCCGTTCTGAAGATCGGACTTCACTCACTCGTATCCGAAAAGAAGCCCACTTATCCCGGCGGAAAAAGTCAGCGCCCAGATAAACCATCCTCCGGAATCTGTTGACTCCAGTTTCTTCGAAACCGAGTCATTGTTGGCGTGATTGTTGGATTCATCGGTGGTCGCGGGTTCTGGTGTAAGTAACGGTGCGCTGGGACCCGATGGGCCGTTTTCGTAGCCATAACTCATGCTCTGAATCTCCGTTTCTTGTATCCCACCGGCATCTGTATTCCCGTTCTGTGTGTGAGTGCCTGTCTTTCTTTTTTGATTGTGTCGCGTTTGGGTGATGGGCATACAAATTCAAGACCATTGACGTGTGGACGAACATGGGGTCGAATTGGTAGTCTGTCCGCGGGATCCACTTACCTATTCCGAATGCTGACTAGCTCATTTGAGGACCATCCATCGATGACCTCGATCGTACTACATGATACCGGTGGAGCAATGTTGAGCATGTGCGGATTATTTATGGGTGCCACTGGTCTTTGCGACCCTCCATTCTTATTTTAAACGCTCTCTCGGGCTTTCTACTTCTTTAAATCAATAAAAGGTGAAGATAGACCGCACTGATCCACGTGGGAATGAATGTATTTTTGATCACGTAGAAGCCAATGCTACTGGTCCGTACACAAGCATTACATGGACTTAGTGAGCTATCGCTACTCCCGCCGCGTTGGCCTGCGATGTGATCATCTTCTTGTAGGCCTCGACGGTGCCGTCGAACTTGTGCACCGTACCACCGTCACAAACCCAGAGACTCTTGCAGACGTTTCGAAGCATTGTCACATCGTGGGATACCATCACGATACCTCCCTCGAAGTTCTGTAAAGCCTCGGACAATGCATCCATACCCTCAATATCCAAGTGGTTAGACGGTTCGTCCAGCACAAGGATGTGCGGGTTGGTCAGCGACAAGCAGGCGAAGGCGACACGAGACTTCTGACCTCCAGACAGAAGCTCCATCCGTTGAAGGCCCGTCATACCCGTGATGCCGAATCTAGTGAGCGTAAGATGTCAGCATGACTAATTCAAAGGATTCCATGGGCTCGCAGGTTCAGGGTCAAAACATACGCTCCTAAGTGTCGACGGTAGTCCTCGTCTGTCTTCCCGGGATAGGTCTTCGCCATGAAGCTCACGGGACTGGTGGTGAGATCCAAGGCATCAACGTGATGTTGAGCAAAGAATCCAACGCGAAGTCTTGAATGTGTAGAGATCAAGCCAGAGGTCGGCTGTAGCTGGCCAGTGAGCAGTTTCAATACTGTAGTCTTACCAGCACCGTTTGGCCCGACGATGCCTATACGAGAATCAAGCTGCACGCTGAGCTCAACGTTCTTGAGAAGTGGCCGGTCTGGGGTATATCCAAAAGCAACGCCGTCCATCTGTAGAATGGGAGGAGAAATCTTCTCCACTTCTGGGAACTTGAAATGTACGACATAGTCGCTTTCCGGAGCCTCGAGAACTGGCATCTTCTCGAGCTTTTTGATTCTCGATTGCGCTTCGGACGACTTGGCGGCGTTGTATCGGAACTTGTCGATGAAGGCTGGGCATGTTGGTCAGTTTGAAGGCCTCGGAGACTGGTAGGTTACATGATATGGTCGGTACCTTGCAGATGCGCGCGTTCGGCCATTTGCTTCTCATACTCGCGCTTGGCATTCTTTTTCCGTTCTTCCTTGGTCCCATAGAAGGATGCTACAAGACGTTAGCGCGTCTTAAATGCGTGACCAGGGCGTTTTGACAACTTACTGAAGTTACCACCCTTGTAGTAGTCAAGTCGCTCGTTATGCTGATGTATAATATCCGTTGCAATTTCATCAAGGAATGCTCTGTCGTGAGAAACCACCAAAACCGTGCTGGGATAGCCCTGTAGGTAATTGGACAAGAATGTAATGGACGGCACGTCCAACATGTTAGAAGGTTCTATGTGAAGTCAGTACGCAGCCTTTATCCGCACAAGGCGCTATAATTCGCAGGAGGGATTTAACTCACCGTCCAACAAAAGCAAGTCTGGCTCGCAGAATAGAGCCCGCGCCAATGCCAGACGCATACGCCAACCACCCGAGAAAGTCTTGGTTGCAAATTGCTGCCTTTCGGCTGAAAATCCAAGACCGGCCAAGATACTAGCTGCGCGGGACTCAGCCTTGTCGGATTCCATCTCCGCCAGTTTCGCGTAGATGTCACTCAGGGTCGTATCAAGACCCTCTCTTTCATGGTCGAGTTTAGCCGCATCTTGGGACGTGTCTGCCATCGACGATCTTTCCGTATCAAGCTGGGAGAGCTGCTTGGTGATTTTCTGTATGAAAGTCAGAAGGGACTCAAAGCCGAAGAATTACGATGAGAGGTCAAATGAACGAGTTACTGACATCCTGGTCGGCGAGAAGGCGCTTTCGCCACACATCGGCATCCAAGACTGCTTGAAGAGCCGGGGTATCATCTCCTGTAATCTACAGAGTACGTCAGCAAGAACCATAAAGATCATGGAAGGCAGATGCGGGTGTCGCACTTCTTGCTCGACGTGGAGAATCGAGATGTAGCTCGGGACTGCCACTTCTCTGCGACTCAAAGCACGCAGCAGGGTACTTTTTCCGATACCGTTCTGACCAACAAGACCATAGCGATGACCGAAAGCGAGCGTAAGAGACGCATCGGTCAAGATACGGAGACCACCGACAGACACATCGATGCTGTCGATCTTGATATCCTTGCTCTTCTGCTGAGAGTCGGAGCCCAACTGAAGCGGATTGACGGCCATGAAGAACTCTTCGTAAGTCATGGCGTCGTCGGGCTGGGTGATGAGGCGGGAAGATTCGTAATGCACCGTCTTCATCTGCTTCTTCTCCTGCTTGGCGCGGATCTTGCGCTCTGCTTTTTCGAGCTTCTTGCGGTCCACACGAGACTCCACCTTTCGAGCATTGGCCGATTCCAAATCCACGTTCCCGCCGGCAAGACCCAGGGTGGAGGACATGTTTCGCTGAGAGCCGACGTTGATGGCCTGGTCCAGCTTCTTCGCGGTGAAGGGCATCTGGCTGCGTTCCGCATCAACCCCGTTGGACGCGCTCAACGAAGAGATAAACTTCTCCACCAGGTTGCGGATGGCAGCTTCGTTTTGAGGAGAAAAGTTCCCCGACGCAGAGACGAGGAGCTCCGTCACCATGTCCGCGGCTTCCGCTAGTGGCGACGGGACATTTGCATCCTCAACATAAGCCTTGGAAGCATGAGTGAGATAGCCCTGTCGAATGTTAGTGTACTTCTATACCTAGATTTACAATGCGTAGAGCAACATCAATCATTCGGAACCAATCACATACCACTGAGTATTCTGATACCACGCGGTCCAAACCGGGGATCTGAGATTGGAGTTCCGACTCCATTTTGAAGGCGGGGAATTGCAATGACGATTCCGATGCACAAGAAAGAAAATGGGAGATATACAAGTCTATCCAATTGTGCCAGTTCCCCGCATTGAATCAGGATGTCCCTAGTATCAGTTACGCTGAGCGGGCTCGATCTGTACCTAAAGGTTGATAGATTCCCTGCTGAACAGCACAATTTCTCTTTTCTGCAAAGCTTTGGAGGGGCGGTCTTGTCACGGGCGGAGTGGCTGTTCTGATTGGACGTAGCTGGTTATGCAGTATAAACCGCTACTTGATTATATAAACACCGCATTATTACTAAACATGCTTATCCACAGTAAACTTCTGCCCCAGGCAACAACATCGTCGCCAACTTGACATACTATGACTTCACTGAACTTGCGATGATTGAAACGGTCTTATGCTGATTGTATTGCTCATCCATTTAGGATTGAGGGGTTTGACAGCATCTGGACCACATTCTTTTTGCATCCACACTACAGTACTTACACTATAATCGCCCAATCCCGCTCAAGATTATTAAGTGACATGGAAGGATCCGGCCGGTCCAAGAGTGTTTCATTGATATGATTTGGTCACTGAGCAATTGCCATGTCTGACCGCCTCAAAATGCAGTCTTCGCAGATGTTCTAGGGGTGAACGACAGGAGAGAATGGAGATGTGAACAGAACAATAAAGGGAAACAATAAAGACAAACAAACCCCTGCCAAAGTCAAGACCTGGCTCGTCTATCGCTTCAAAGTCCAATCGGCGGGGTCTGCCACCCCGTTGCTCCAGCAAAATATGCGTGTGCTGCGGAGATTACACGAATTAATTATGGCGAGGCGTTTTCCGGCGTCGAGCCTGGCCCCTGCGGGGGGCCTCAACACACGGCCTTTGTCGGTCGAGTCTAGCGGAGAGTTGAATCGGTAGGTTGTTGCAGGGATCGCAGATTTGAGTTTTGGACAATGATCGACATGAAGACAGCTGTTCATCGGTCGGTGCGACCCTAGCCAGTCTCGCTAAGGGAGGACAAATTGTACTTATCCCGTGTGACGACGACGGGAAGGATTGTTGCACTTCTCCCTTTGGAAGGGCTCGGGGTTGTTGTCCTGGGTGATAAGTTTAATCCCAGACACGGAGAACTTCGTTGGCCAGGTGTCTGAGGGGAGGATCCGTAAATCAACTTCACCCGACTGCAAGGATACACCGGAGCAAGGGTGAGTTGTGTACCTGCTTTGCGGAGCAAGCGCCTGCCCCCACCCCCAACTTCCCGTAGGATTAATCGTCCTGGATATTGGCTACAAGGGGTGATTTCTAGTAGAGTTGGACCTCAAAGCATTGATACGCTTTAGTTAGGTCGTGTGTTTGTTCGAAGAGTAAGAGACGAAATCGATGGGGTACTCTGTGCATCGTATTATGCTGTGCGGAGCCCATCACACCAGCCACCAGTGTCCCCTCAGCTCTTGGCAAGATCACGAAGAATTGGTGACCAGTAGTAGGTCTGGAAAATCCGTTTCTGACGGGAGCTAGCCCCTGTTCCAGCATGACAATTACTTTGATCCATTTAGCTGTCAAAGAGGCTCGCGAAAAGAACAGCACCATAAACATCGAAAAAAAAATTATCCGGATGACGAACCATCCTTGGGAACGAAAGGGAGCAGAAATCCAATCCCTATCTTGAAAAAAGACCCATCGCATCGGTCGGAGATATTGCCCTTCAGGTCCCAAATCTTGCAGGCCACGTTCCGCTTGGAAGAAATTGGATGTATCATCTCGATCTGCTCTGTTTCCTGCCGAAGGAGCTTACTATCACACCGTTATGTTGGCTGTCTATTGACATCGTGGAAGCTGCAGCTTTTTCTTCATTTTCTTTTTCTTTTCTTATTTTTTTT